TATAATAAAAAATAAAAATAAGGAAATTATAATAATATATATTTAAAAAAAACTAAATTATATTATTAAATAAGTTTAAAAAGAATAATGCTTTATTTAAATAATTTAAAATATAGCATTAAATTAATTTTATAATATTAAATGCTTAATTTTTATAGGAGCGCTTTTAATATTATATTAATATAAAATTTATTTATAATTATTATATTTTCTAAGATTAAATCTTTAATTCTTTTTTTATTTACTTTATATAATATATTTTTAAAGCGCTTTATTTTATAGCTTAAAATCTTTAGAAATAAGGTTTTTGCTTTAATAATATTTATTTTAATAGCTTTTTTAAAGGTGCTTAAAATTAAATAATTAATAAAGTTAATAAAGTAAATAATATTATAATTATTTAAAATTATACTTAAGGATAAAAAATATAATATAGAATTTAAGGTTATATATATTCTTAGGAAATTAATTATAATTAATAATTATAATAAATTAATTAAAGTATAAATAAATTAATAAAGAGTTAATAAAAATATAATAAAGGTATTATTAATTAGTTAATTTTTTAAAATTAAGGTTTAAAAAAGCGTAAGTTTACTTTATAAGGAAAAATAAAATAAAAGAAGGAAATTAAGATATTATTTCTTAATAACTTTTAAAAATGCATTTAAGGGGGTTTTTAATATTTTTAATAAGCTTTATATTTAATCTTTAAGCAGGAAGTTCTTTTAAGTAAGCTCTTAAATTAAGTTCTTATAGCAATTCTTTTATAATTATATTTTAATTTTATTATATTTAAGTTTCTTTAAAAATATTTTTAACTTTAAAATTTATTTTCTTAAAAGCATAAAATAAAGGTAATAATAATTAGCAAAAGGCTAAGTATATTTTTTTTATTAATTAGTTTTTTAATAAGAATACTTATATATTTTATTTTATTAATATAATTAAAATAATGCATTTTTATTTCTTAATTACTTTCTTAATTAATTACTTTTTATTTTAAAAGGTACTTTTAATTTTAATATAGTAAATATTATAATATTCTTAAAGGTTAATATAAGCTTATTATAATGTAAAAGTATTATTAATTTTTTAAATAAAGTTTTTAAGAAATAAATGGGTTTTTTAAGCGCATTTTATTTAATAAGTTTTTAATGCTTAAAAATTGCTTAATTAAGGGCAATATATATTATAATTACTTATAAAAAGTTATTTAAATTAATAAATTCCTTAATCTTAAGTAACTTATAAATATAAGCTTATAAATATAAGTTTATAAAGTTTTAATATTATTATTATAGTTTAATACTTAGTTTTTTTGCTTTTTTTAAGTATTGCTAATATTAGGTTTAAAGGGTGTTTATTATGCTTAACTTAAAAGGTATAAGGTTATTTTTAATATTTTAAATTACTTATTAAATAAAGAATTATTTTATATTTACTCTTTTAATTAAATATAGGGAGAGAATTAAGCTAAATATTATTTTTTATATTTATTCTTAGATTTTTTATTTTTTATTAAATTTAATTATCTTATTAGGAGCTAAGGCAACTTATTATTAAAGATATTGGTTATATTTCTTTTTTAATTTATTAAAGGATAAGGGAAAGAATAAAGTAAGTATTGTTTTATCTTTTAAGAGTTTATTATTACTTAAATGCTTTTAATACTTATTATATAAAGCCTTTTAAATATTTCCTTTTTTTTTATATTATATAAATTAGGAATTTAATTTTAAAATTATATTTAATTGCTTAGCAAGAGCTATATTTAATGCATTAGGGTTTATAAATTCTTAGCACCCTTTAATTTAGTAATGAAATTATAATATAGTGAATTAAGTAAGAAAGAAATAAGTATTTAAATAAATTATTTAATTAATAAGGTTTAAAGAAGTATTTATAATTATTATATAAATATATGCTTAAAAATAAAAGGAAATAAATAATATAAAATGAATGTAATTAAGATATGCTTTATATAACTTATTTGCAGCTTATAAAAAGGAAAGATTATTTTATGTAAACCGGGCTTATAATTATAAAAGGCTATAAGTATTATAAGGGGTTTAAAAGCATAATTATAAAAGCGTTTATTTCTTAAGAGTAGTTTAAAAGGAGGAAATAAAAGAAATCTGGCTATTTAAGCATTTTAGGAAGTGGTTGTAAACCAGGGTTAGGGATGTGCGTGCAATAGCTTCACTGAAGGCGCAATACAAGGGCTAGCCCGAAAGCATCCAACTGCGCCCCTTGCTCGCATTCAATGGACCGAATCTTTCAAGTTGCTGTTAGTATGACTCCGCACCTGTCCGCCCGAGGCCAAAGATCTCACCCTCTCTTCAAGGTGAATATTCAAACACACAATAGAGCATTTCGTAAAATTTGTGGCGGGTCTCTCTTTCCTCAAATGCAGGTGCCCGCAAAGGAGCAAGTTCTCGGACAGATCCAGTCAGGCTGTACCGTGTGCGAAAAATGTCAGGACAAACACATCTACAAGAAGCGGATTAAACCAGCTGTGAGACTGCGAGATGGGTTATAAGCCAAAAAAAAAAAAAACTAAAAAAAAAAAAAAAAGAAGAGTCAGCATCTTGGTTCCCTGTTTTGACCAAGATTTGAGAGAGCCGCCATTATCATGTCAAGATGTCGGACCGTACCAGAGGACACGATTTCCCTTCACTTGGTGTAGATCTCCACGGACCTCTTCTCTGTATACAAATTCGTGGCACGTGGGTCCTTCGAGGTCGCATGGGCAAGAGGTTTGCCATCACGCACTGCTCTGCTTGACTCCTCAAAGGCTTGTGCTAAGTTGGTGGTCGTAAAGATTCAGGACGGTCAAATCAGGCTCTGAACGGTACTTGAGAAATACGTTCATTATTTCTGACATCGACACTCCCAGTGTCTTTTGCCGACATTACAGTGCCGACCACGGTAGAGGGTGTGAACGCAGGCCTTGAGCACCTTTGGTCGCCGGGCTGGCGCCTATCCCAGGTATGGATGGCATGGGTTATGACTCGTCCGACATCAGCCCCTCAAGCCATCAATACCATCACTGATTTGAGAGAAAATGCCCGCGGGCTTGCTATAATTTATCCGACGTGTTTTGAAGAGGAAAAGTGAAGTAGTGTAGAGATCCAACGCTGATGAGGCTTGAGGACGTGGAGCTTATCGAGAAATCAGACTGATAATATCATGCCAACGGCCGGGACAACGGGGATAAATTCTAGTCCGCATGAGCAGCGAGAAGCGTGAGCACGGGGCGCCTGAAGGGTGCGCTTCGTTTGCGCCACTCAGACGCCGGTATAGAGGTGGCCTCCGGCCGACGTTTCGCGCCGGCAGAAGGAACAGGTGATGATACGATGGGAAACGCTCACGCACACAGTGAGGCGAGACAGTGCTCGAATAATGGTTGCCCGCCCAACTGCCATAAGAGAGGGACTCAGAGAAGTCGGCTGTCCACTTGTTGCGATAGGCCAATCCAAATTGGATTAAGATTGGAATCAGTAAATTTACTCCTCCACTCTCTGAGACGCCCTGCGGTGGGAGGCCAGCTGATGTCGACCCACGGATGAAGTAAGCTGGACTTAGCCGCCCTCTGCATACCTCAATCGCTACCAGGGCATCAGACGAAAAAGACACTACTATGTGCGAGGTGGGGCCCCCAAAGATAAGTAGACTGGACGTTGAGCCCCGACGTTGAGCCAGTGGGAGTGTTTCAGCACCTCCCTGTTGCCGATCAGGCTAAGCTTTGCGGCCCTCACCCGGACTAGAAACAAGCGCACAGACTGACAGAATGACAGACCATGAAACCCTAGCCCTGTTCACAATCAGAGGACTATGAGCAAGATTGTGCGCTCGGGAAAGTGGATTCGCCGGGTGTGGGCGAGATGAAAACCTACGATCTGACTCGTACGCCGCACATACTATGTATGTGTGGTGCGCAAGGGGGCACGGTAGACTTGGTAGGACTCGAGCGGAGTCCTTGCGTGGAGAGCAACTAAACCTTCCCTCACCTGCCACTCTAAAGTATGGATGGGTTGCAACCTGAGAGAAGGTGTCAACTTTAAGCAAGCTCGCGGCATCCAGAGGGGCCCACTTCCACAGCCAGCGAGAGCTAGTTCAAACCGCAAATCGCTACGGAAGCCTGTAGTTGAAGTGCTCGAGTATGGAAGACCACATCTCTCAAAAATGAGGGAATACCCTCCTCTCGCAGCTGCGTCTGCGATCCACGCTATTGCTCGGACACCCGGTTCCTCCAATCTACCATCATGACGTGCTTTAGTACTAGTTTCAGCTTGCCAAGACCTGTCACAATCTCGTCAGATCGGTCCTCACAGCCCACTGGTAGTGCCGGTGCCGAAGGAGGGTGCTCCCACTTGAGCAGGTCTCCGGTATCACTGCCGTAGAAACTAGCTCATGGGCGGAGCGGCCAAGGGGTCTCCGTGGTCACACAATCGTCCGAATTCATGTTGTTGCAATTGTTTCCCTTTTCAAGGCTTGAGGCTGTGCTTATCACCACCAAGCGCAACATCGCCAGTGTTTCTGCAATTGGCTTTGGCCGCCGGGAGGGCTGGCCGGCTTGCTGCCCAAATCTCCTGGCCATCCCAGATCGGGGAACTCTTCCACCCCTCAGCTGCCTCGAGATCTCACGCTTCAGTTGGTTTTGCGCATCTCGCCCATCACATGAGCTTGGACCATGAGCCCCTTTTCACCCGTGATCGCCCAAGGCCAAGTTGACTAATACTAGATATGTCTCGCTTCATCCGAGATTGTGATCCACGGCTTAATCGGCTTAACCGGCATGGAGGTCATGACAGCCATCACTCAAAAGGCAGCGCAGTCTCTCTGCATAATGTTGCGAGGCTGTCACCCCTTCCTCCAAGTCCAAAGTCTCTGTCGGTCGCTATCTTCCTGTCGCCATCGGGACTGTACCGCAGCAGCTCGAGAAATTAGCTCGCCTACGAATCCGGAGACGCAACTTGGTAGATCAGCCGGACAAAATGCATCGCGGTGTGCTGAGCAGTCTGCTCTTCTTGCCCTCTGCGCTTGGAGTTGCCATTCGTCAAACCACTGCAACCTCGGGCACGACCACAGGGGTAAGATCCAGCTGAATGGTGACAACTTCAAAGCCATTGTATCTTAACACTTCGGCAGGAACTGGGAAATGCGACAGCGATAGACAGCAACCCGCAAGGAGTATCGTTCAAGGCTTCGTTCCCAACGGATAAGCAATTCACGCCTACACCAAACGGAAATGTCCGGGGCGTGGTGCTCGCTCAGACGGGAAGAGATGGGAAGGGTGTGCGATATGATATCATGATTGATAACCTTCCGGACGAGGGTGGTCCTTTCCGTAGGTCAAAGACACAATGTCCCCATCGCCAGGCAGGATAGCGACAACTAACACGAGTTATTAGTATACCATATCCACACGGAGCCTGTGCCTCCAGATGGAAACTGCAACGCGACGCTGACTCACCTCGATCCCTTCCAACGAGGCGAGAGTCCACCTTGCGATGCCGCCCTCCCGACGACGTGCCAGGTGGGAGATCTCGCCGGCAAGTACGGAGCCATCACCACGTCCCCGTTCGAAGCGTCGTACACAGACCCGTTCACAGCGACGGCTGATGGCCAGTCCTTCATCGGAAACCTGAGCGTCGTCGTGCACTTTGCCAACAAGACCAGGATCACCTGCGCCAACTTCCTGCAGATGGGAGCCGATGGGCTGTTGTCATCTTTGTGATGAACTGAATACTTTCCATCCATCTGACGCCATATCAAGAGACGCTCTACCCCGTAGACATGGGCACCATCGGCTGGGGTAGTCGGGGATTTGGACGTCGCTGCGGTGAACAGCATTTGTGGGAAGGGCACAGATGTAGGTGCGTCTGCCACTTCTAATACCATTTAGAGCATCGGATACTCAAGCCTGTACATTATTTGCTTCCTGATTCTTGCTCAATACCCTTTTTCGTACGTATGGAATAGATAGACGTTCCTCCGAGCTCTAGTTCTGCGCTCGAATACGAAAGCTCATCTTTTTCACTGATGTCTGCGAACTGCGTAAAGTAACACATGCTGCATGCAGGTTCTGTGTCGACCAAGACAGCACGGGTCAGAGTTGACCGCCGATAGGTCCCGGGAGGCGGTCTCGCACAGCTTGCGCTTCCACCTGGTGGGTACGTGGATGAATACTTGCCCGAGAATGGACCAAAGTCGAACAAACGGTGAGAATCTGACATCAAAGTCGGGCAGGGAAAAGCTGTACGAGTTGCGTTTGTGACATGATAGATACCCGACCGGTCAACAACTTACTCTCTCCTATTCTCGACATGAGATAGGCCGTGTCTCAGCTTATCTAGTCTACGTGCCGTCGGTGGTGCCAAACCTGTCCATTCCGACGCCGGTGCCGCAACTCCGTGCCGCCAGGTGGCGGCGTGGACCGCCCCGCCGGGTTTTTCTCAGGGGGTGACAGCACTCCGTAGCTGCAGCCCTAATCGGTCGTCTACTCGTTTGTTGGACCCTGAACGTTGGTTATTGCATGTGAATTTGGTGGTCGTTGGCCAAATTCTGTTTTAACATCATGTCTGCTCTGAAGAATTTTGCATCGTCAGCCGATTTCTCTTATGACCACGGGCGACTTGCTGGTTACTGATGGGAAACATTGAGTAACGGCAGTTTCCTCCTATCTTCAACCTTGTGGGCACAAAGCGCCTCTTCTGGTTGTGGATCTCGTACGCTCACGCAATGATGATGGCCGATTTCAACGATAAGCTGAACGGCACGTGGCTGATTGCCCTGATCACTCTTCTAGATGCATGTGAGTTATGACCTATGTACGGACTTCAACTCAGGTGACATACACTAATAAATGTGCCATAGTCAATTCGTGCTGGTTCGGTTACGACCAAGTGAGTTCCCCATTCGAGCGAGACCTGCCATCATGCTCGCAATTGGCCAACTGACGATGCCATACTTAGGGCGTCTTCGCTGGAGTTCTCGTCTCCCCAGACTTCCTGAGACAGTTTCCAGCAACACTTGATGCAGACGTCTCCGGAATCACATCGAGCTGCTTCTTCGTCAGTCAACATATTGTTTTCACATGTGAGCAAAGACGTCAAACTGACACTTTCCCAGCTGGGGGCATTCTTCGGTGCCATTGGAGCTTTCATCCTGGGAGACAAGCTCGGTCGTCGCAGAACGATCGCCCTGGGAGTGATCTGTAATGTGGTGGGCTCCATCTTACAGGCTCTCTCATGGCATCTGCCGCAGATGATCGTTGGCCGCCTGGTCAACGGGTTTGGCATCGGACTTGTCTCTTCCATGTCCCCGGTATACCTGTCAGAATGTGCACCATCGCACGTACGTGGTATGCTTCTGGCAGTCGGCGCATGCTGTAACGTCGCATGTTTCTGCGTCGCCAACTGGATTGCCTTTGGCCTCTATTACGACGACTCGGCATTCCAATGGCGGTTTCCCCTTGCTTTCCAGCTAGTATTTCTCATCATTGTCGCTCCCATTCTATTCTTCGTCCCGGAGTCGCCTCGGTGGTTGCTTCTGGTTGGCCGCGACGAGGAAGCCCTCCATGTACTGTCCAGACTGGCAGGCCACAGCAAGAATATCGGGGACAAAACCGTGACGGCTGAGTTCCAGTCTATCAAAGCGGCTATTCAGATGGAGAGGGATGATAAAGTCCCCTTGATTGACGTCTTGTGTCATCGAGACAAGTCACAGAATTTCCGCCGGTTGATTCTTGGTTGCGGTACCCAATTCATGCAACAGTTCAGGCAAGTACATTGCAAGAAAACTCCCAGCACCCGTTCCTATATATAATTCTGACGCATAATCACAGCGGTATCAACGCATTAGGTTGGTTGAGTTCCTGTTACTGCTCAATAGATACAAATTGGCAGCCCGCAGGCTAATGAAACACATTAGGGTTCTACCTGCCAACTCTCCTGCAGGGAGATGTTGGATACAATCAACAAATGAGCCGACTCATTACAGCAATAAGCAGCACTGTTTACGTATTTTGCAGCTTTGTATGCCTATTGATGATTGACCGGTTTGGACGCAGGAAGTGAGTACCTTCCCATTGGCTCAAGAAAGAAATGCAAACTCCGTGCTGACGACTCCAGGATGATGATGTAGGCTTGCTCAACCCCGATGGAGATTGCTCTTATTCTAATTTTTCAGGTACTCTCCCATACTTATGGGGTTCTGTCACATCGTGGCTTGCATTTGCCTCGCTGTGGGAGAAAATGATGACTCCAAGACTCAGATCGTAGGTCGAGCCCAGCCCAGCATGCCACTCTCTCTACTAGACGCTTTGATGATTAATTCAGGCTACATTGGTGCTGATCAAGTTCTTTCCAACACACAGATGGGAAAAGTGGCGACGGCCATGTTTATTCTCTACCATGTCTTTTTCGGCCTAGGGTACTCGAGTGTCCCTTGGGTCTACAGCGCCGAAGTGAGCTCTCTTGGGTGGCGCACGAGAGGTGCTGCCGCGGCAACAGTAAGCACATGCCTCTCGCAGTCAAAAGTCTCTAGGTAGCTAACCACGAAATTTTGTAGTCGGTCAACTGGCTGGGTGGATTTGTTGTCGTCCAATTCACCAAGGTCGGTCTCGACAACTTGCAGTGGCGATTCTTCCTCAGTAAGTCCAAAATCTAATACTCAGCTGGTATTCATTATTGAGTGCTCAGTGCATATTCTAAGGATTAATTGACGTTGCTGACCTGTCACAAGTGTTTGGCATCTTCTGTTTCGCCTTTGGCCCCGTCGTATATTTCTTCTACCCGGAGACCGCCAACAGGACTCTGGAGGACATGGACCAGATATTCATCCACAATCCCTCAGCTTTCGTCTTCACAGACAGGGCTGCGACACAATCAAAGCGGCCAGATATTCTTATCGAAGCAGAGACTGCGCGGATAGCTCAAATCGCAAACAGGTCGCAGGAGGCGACGTTGTCTGAAAACGAAAAGAATGCAACGGACACCAACGTCTAGAATCCTACGAGCAGCAGCGGTTTCGATGAGCTGCCCCTGTTAAAGGCAGTAGCCAGGACTGCCGTTCGAAGCAAGGATTTTGCTAGAGCAGGCCACAGTATGCACTGGGAGAATCATGGAGTAAGGTGAATATTCCGAGTCTTTGTGGGGGCCATGAATGTGCAATGGGCGGATCGTAATTAGAAGCCGAAGACTCTAGATTGAATTTGATTTCATCCCAACTGAAAAAGAGAATGTCGGTCTAATCGCAGTGGGTGATGAGAGTAATACGACGACGGTGTCAGCTCTCTCCCACAGGAAGTGTCTAGCGATCCTTCTCACACGAAAATCAAGACAACAACGAATTGTTGGTTTACGCATCCCTGTTAGCTCCATCCACGCCACCACATTGGCACTTCTAGCGCTGATGCACATCGCTAGCCTAATAAAGAGCCCCGAGGAGACTAAAACACTGGACCATCCAACTGCTGGATTTGCTAAAATGCCATCATACTATTCTTTTCTGGACAATTTACTTCGAGCAAAATGGGTAATCAAGCCTCTATTCCCACAACTGGCACAAAGTTTCAGGTCATTGAAGCAGGTCTCCCTCGCACAGGGACCGCCTCCTTCAGCGAAGCATTGCGCATTCTCCTTGACGCTCCAGTCTACCATGGGGGCACACAATGCACCATGGGACAGCCAGTCGAGATGCGCTCCTGGATCAAGGTCCTCAGACTTTTTCCTTTCAGAACGGATGCCGACAGAAAAGCAGCCCTTTCTTTAATCCGCCAGCGACTGGACGGCTATGCAGCCGTGAGACGCACCGGCAAACGGGCTGATCCCGGAACTCCTAGAGCTGTACCCCGAAGCCAAAGTAATCTGCACGGTGCGCGACGCGGAGGCGTGGGAGAAGAGCATGGCGGGCGTAGCTTCTGCCTCCACGAGGTGGTTTTTGCGTGGTGTTCTCTTGCCATTGCCCACGATGAGACACTTTGTCGACTACATCAACGGCCTCCGAGATCAATGGCTCTACCTTTACGGCGAGACTGAGCCTCCCACAAGGATGTCATACAATCGTCATATGGAGTGGTTGAAAGAGACCGTGCCGGCAGACAGGCTGATATTCTTGGAAGTGAAGGATGGTTGGGAGCCTCTCTGCAAGGCATTGGGCAAGGAGGTCCCTGATGTACCATTCCCGAGGATCAATGACAGCGAAGCCATTGACAAATTTGCTGCGAAAACTGCTAAAAGAGGGTTGATTAGTTGGGCTATTCTTCTGGCTGGGATTGGTGTGGGAATAGCACTCTACAGGGCGCAGTGATCAATCAGACTTGCTGAAGGATGTTGATGGAGCTGGGATCAGTCAGAATCTGTAGAAAGAAATCACTGGTTGCTTTTAACTCAGCATGTTTTTGGACATGGCTCAGGGGACGGTTTCCAGCTCATGCACGACCTCTCTGAATTGGTGGATAGAGCAAGCATAGCAGAGAAGGTAGTCGCCAATAGTTTCTCATGATCCCAAGGATACCGACTCTTGTGAGATGCCTCTGTCCAACAAAACGCTCCTCTTGAGCAGCAGCTGTGGTTTCTCTCGCGATAGTTGTACAATTGACACTGAATTAGAAATCAATTCAGCCAGGCTTTAATTCAGCATCATGGATATTGCTACAAGTGCCTAGACATGCAATCCACTGCTCTGGTTTTGCTCTGTTTCTTGTCAAGGCCGTGCAGCAGATGATCTTTGAGGACCGAGCAGACAAGCTCTTAGGGGGAGGGTGGAAGAGAGTTAGTAGGGTTAGGAGTCAAGCCCCGCTTCTCGACCTAAGCCCCTTTTCCGCTTGGTCCCGAACGAGCCGAGTGACTCTCGGGCGCCTTCCCGTCGTCATGCATTTCGGTGACTATCCGCGCGCGACATGCTCACCGTGAAGCATCAATATTTTCAAGGCTACCGTGATTCTCAAACCCTTAAACTTTTGAGGAAATGCTTCTTTCAGTAAAGATCTGATACAAGCCAGAAACCTCGGCCTTGCGACATCCCCTTCTTTTTATTGTATTTATTTTGACCATCCTCTCCAGCCTACATTCACCGTTTGTTTCATGGACACACCTCATGCCATATGGATATTCTTTGTTCCTTTGGTTATCCGGATAAATTTGGCATCATCATCTTCCTTCCTCAGATCCAAAACCTAAGCTGGTTTCATTCAATCTCGATGTTGTCAGTTCAGAGTTAGTACAGGAAGCCGAATCGTCGCCGACACTCAAGGCTTTGTTCCCCCAAGGACTCGGGTTCTATGGACTCTCACGTGAAGCCAGTTCGACATTTGAAGGGAGCAGGTTCAATTCGAAGATGAGGTTGCCTGTGGCCCTGGCCCCTTGTCCGCATAGGCTGCACTTTGGTTCATACCCCTCCAACTTCAGCAAACCATTTCCGAAAGCGGTGCTGGGGGCAGCATGCAGAAGATTGGCGCATACAGCAGACTCGATTGCGGTTCGTGAAAACCCTCGAACTTCAAGCGTGGAACCGAATCAAGCGAGCTTGCCTCACAAGCGGCTTCCACAACCCTCGCCGGAGCAGCAGGTCGCGATTGATACTCTGCTACACACGGACAGCAATATCATCATAGATGCAATCGCCGGTTCGGGAAAGACAACTACGATTCTTCACCTGGCGCAGTCCTCTCCAGACACCAACTTCTTGGTCCTCGTCTACAACCGTCGGCTTATGTTGGAAACTGAGGAGAGGGTGCAGGGTTTGGGGTTGCACAATGTCACCGTTTTGAATTATCACGCCCTAGGGGCCAGATACTACACTCCAGAGTGCGCGACTGACCAGGGCCTGAAGCGTGTCGTTGAAGAGGACATGTCCGTCATTGAGGGCTTGAGTTTGCCGGAATTTTCCGTCCTGGTCATGGATGAGCAACAAGATATGACGCCGATCCTGAAGCGGTTTGTTGATAAAATCATCCTCGATAAGGGCTTCATCGGGCCGGGGCGTGTATCTTATGATCGACCCAACCAGCTGAGGGTAGTGGTGCTGGGCGACAAAAGGCAGGAAGTGTACTCCTTCAACAACGCTGACTCCCGTTTCCTTACCATGGCTGCTCGCCCAGAGGTGTTCGGTTATCTCAATAACAACGAGTGGACAGCGGCAGACCAGACAACGTCCAACAGGGTTACTCAGCAAAATATTGACTTCATCAACCAGCAGATGTTGAAGCAGCCACTCGGAATGGCCATGCGTGCTGTCAGGAACCACAGTCAAGATGGCACCCCGTATCCGAAACCGCGTTACATTATATGTGACCCGTATGAAGATATCCTAAGCGAGGTCCTGCGGCTCCTGGACACATGTGGGCTGTCCCCAACCGAAATCATTGTGCTGGCACCATCAGTCCGGGGAGCATCACCGGCCATTTACCTGGCCAACCATCTTGCATTGAGGGGCATACCGGTATTCAGATCAGATTCGGATGTCTCTGATATTGCCCCCGGAAGTGGCTTCTGGGAAAGTCCTGATCTGCACCTATCATCAAGCAAAGGGCATAGAACGCAGAGCGTCCATAGTGCTGGGCTTCGACCAGGGATACCACACCTGGTTTGACAAAACAGTAAACCCTCGCACAGCAGTCAGCAACCCGCAGTACGTGGCTGCAACTCGTGCGCTAGAGCATCTAGTACTCATCCATGATTCGAGAAGAGCCGCGCTTCCATTCGTCGACTTAGACAAAGTCGGCGACACTTGCGAGCTGCACACGATACGTCCCCTCCGGGTAGAACCACCAACACCACGAGAACGGATACCAGCCTTCAGCGTCACTGCGCTCTGCCGGAACCTTTCTGAGACCCTGATCACCGATTGTCTGGGCCGGCTCGACTTCAGACTGCTGGCCGCGCCCGCCTACGGCGTCCCACCTCCTCCGACCGAGATCCAGGACCGATCGGGGCTGCTTGAGGGAGTCTCAAGCATTACGGGGACTGCGGCACCTGCTGTGTTCCAGTGGCGTCAAAGGAGGCAAACAAGCATCATATCCGGACCTCTGAAGTTGCTACGACCACCAAAATGCCAATCGAGGAGAAGAAATCCTTTACGAGAGCTGCCGGAAGCCCTGTATCAAAGGCTCGAGCTCGCCGAGGCAGCATATACCGGCGGGGTCTTCACCACAGCCGACATCCTGTACCTCGCCAACCTGGAGATGGCAGCCAAGGACAAAGACATCACCAAGCTCCTGGCAATCCCACTGGACCAGTATGACTGGCTGTCAGAAGCCCACTGTAAAGACATACACTACACACTCAACAGCCTCCCCGCGCCAGCCAAGATCTCTGGGCGGGGGATCCACTTCGAACTCATAAAATACCGAAAGTTCCTCGACATCACGCACGGCGGCGGACCAACAAGCCCCGTGAAGAAGCAAGGTGTGATCGTCACGGGGGCGATGGACATTTGCCGCCCGCGAGGCGCCAGCAAGACGGTCTGGGAGGTCAAGTACACCGAGTCGCTGCAGCCGGAGCACCTGCTGCAGACCGCCCTGTACATGCTGCTCCTCGGCGAGCCGGCCTCTGGGTTCCTGGTTTCTGCGCGCACGGGACAGACGGTTCAGGTCTTGCCGAGGACGCAGAGATCGCTCAGGGAGATATTGCAGATTCTCGTCGATGCGAAGTCTGGAGGGGAGCAGACGAGACTGCTGAATGCTTACTCAGATGAGGAGTTCCTGGCTGAGTGCGGGAGAGACTTCGAGGGGCTGGTCGGGAAGTGCGCTCTGCCAAAGTGGTTCGCGATGAGGCCATCGGGATCCAAGTTCAAGAAGAGAAGGAGGGAGAAACATGGCTGATGGTCCATGGAGTCTCTTCATCCTGAAGTCTATTTAGGTATCCTTAGACCTTCCGAACTCCTGCTGTACCTGGTCATGTATGAATATGATCAACAAAAATCCTGAAAAGCCCGGCTTCCAAGGGAATCTTAACTCTGCCAAACAGACACGCCTTCAGTATCTGATTACAGCCGAATATATTCCCCAAGAGCCTCAAGGACCGCAAGTTCTTCGTCGATGACAATACCCTGCATCTTTTCATTCTCCTTTCCTTGGGCTTCCTCGTGGATCACCCCATCCTGCGTATCCTCACCTTCGTCCTCTATGACAATCACAGGGACTTGCGATTGGTCGCCCGTGCTCTTGGCTAGCAGCCTCGCACTTCGCCGAACACCAGGAGGGGGCGGCGGAACGCCCAAGGCCCTCTCTCGCAGGTTGGGACGGCTGAGCGCCTTTCCCTGCTTCAAGGCCAGCACCTTGTGAGGGTAGGTCATCGCGGCCCTGACCCGCTCCTTCTTCCGCCGCACATTGATGCCGTCTCCGTGCCTCGCGATCAGCTCAGGGGTAGTCGCGCGCTGCATCGAGCTGATGTGGGCCTGGATGTTCGGGTCGGCCTTGAGCAGGTCAACCTGATTGTAGAAGTCCGCCAGAACCCCGTTGCTGTGGGCTCTGTGGCAGGCATCGTGACAGGGGCGGCATAGGAGGGCGATGGATTTCTTCTCGGCCTGGGTGTACCTGTCAGGGTACTTCTTTGTGATTTCTTGGGGGTATAGGTGGTGCTTCGTGATCAGGCAGCCCGGGCCCCAGCGGACAACGCGGGCGCAGAGCTCGCAGATGTCGCGGCGGATGGGGACTCGCGCAGAAACACGCGCAGAAACACGCGCAGCAGCACGTGCAGCAGCACGCGCGGCGCGGCGAGCGGAGCGTGTCTGGCCTGGAAGGGGAAGGGGAACGGGAGGGCCGTTGATCGAGGTGTACCGACGGGGAGGCAGGTTGAGGATGGTGTAGTTCTGGGGTACATCGTCGATCTCTTCGTCGGCGTTATGGTCATCGTCTCCGTCTTCGTCGTCGGACGGGAGGTTTGTCAGGTCGATGATGTCGGGCACGTCCTCCCATTCGTCACCAACATCCTCGTCACTGAGGCCTGTAAGATCGATGACCTCTACTGCCTCCACGGCCTGGGGAACTCGGGGCAACTGGGGCACTGGAGGCAGCGGAGGCCATGAAGGAAACGGAGGAAACGGAGGAAACGAAGGCAACGGGCGCTGCTGGGGCACAGGAGAATGCCGTAGTTCTGGTGTCTCTGGCAGGTGTGGCGTCTGAAGCTCTGGTGCAACGCTGACTGGAGGGCCTGGGCCAGACTCCATGTTGTCCTGTGATGGCTGGTCAAATGGAGGAGCGCTTGGCACAACACTGGAGAAAGGAAGACTTGCCTGGGAAGCCCGAGTGCGGACGGGCAAGTTGATGGGCGTAAAGGAGCTCATATTTCATTGCATTGGACAAGAAGTGCAAAGTCGGAGAGACGAGGCACGAGGGTCAAGAGGGAGGGAGGTGCAGAAAGCATGAGAGGGGAGGAGGTGGTGGCCGTCCCTGCCTTATCATCAAGTTGCCTGCCTCTGATTCACCTCAGTCAGAAATGATACCTAGATACACCCATTCACTTGGACGGAGCATCACATTTTTTTGTGGCTGCAAGCCGAAGACGGAGATGGGCCAAAAACAAACAGACTGGAGCACTTAGCTGCCACTCCTTTGCTGCAATGTCTTGAACGTACCCTGCAGCATGCTGCCAATGATTTTACAAGACTCCGAGTCTTCGACGATCATAGCTTCTCTTGGCTGGCTATCCTACCAGAACTCCCAACTTTAGAGATTTTCTCAGCAAGTAGGCGGCGATCAGGTCACACACACACAGGCTAGCTGTGTGGTGGCGGATGGACGGCAGCAGAAGCCAGAAGCCAGGGACCAGGCAGTTGCTCTATGCCTGGGGTCCAAGTTCACAAGGCCTCAATATTCCAAGGTTTCTAGTATAATTGAGATGACTTCAAGTTGCCTTACCAAGGGATGACCGGCTCTGTGCATTGTAGTCTGTCTATTAATCTCAGTTATCTGAGAATTTGTTCATGAGATCGTTCCTTCTGTCCACCTCAGCTTTCATCATAACCTTGAGGGGATGAGACGGGCTACTGCCAAATAGTTTTCACTTTGGCCGTTGAAACAAGAATGAACAGACGACTTTCAACAGGTGCTTATGAGCCAGTGGACAACTCATGACTGCTGTTTCCACTGTTCCAATTCCGTAGAGCTTAGATTTGTGCTGGTGGTCTTTACATGATAAGATCATTGATACTTGGCATTACTTTTAGTTGCATCTTAATTAAACATCCGTTTTGCAGACTCGCATACGTAATTGTGTAGGCGAGGCTAAGTGCACCTCTAGCTTCAGCAGATTATGGCAAACTTGCGGACGATCGACATGTCTGTGGGTGCCACCATCGGACTATAAACGAGTCGTCAACAGAGATTTGGTTGCAATAAGACTTCTGTATTCAACATTCAAAAGTACTCGATCAACAGGGACACTGAGAGGACCATCAAAGAAGCGCTGTGAGGCAGCAACAATAAGAAGAACACATTGTTTTGTATCTTGTCCTTGCGGCTGGCCTTGTTACATCCAAGTCGCGTTGAACAATTCTTCTGATGATAGCACTCTGCAGCCCGAAATGGTGATCAAGGGCAGCCCGAGAAAAGGCCTGCAGTCGGGGCATTTTTCGAGTCTTGCATGCACAGCTTACCAAAGGACATGCAAGGATGCCGATCCTCCTCACCTTGGCGCTCGCACCTCCTCTGACGTCGGAGCCCTGCCGCCTGTCCGTTCTTTCCTCTTGCAAACAGCTCATCTTTCCCAGGCGACCGTAACTACCACTCATTAAATCTTGTTTTGTAGTATCTTGTGTCATGTGGACCACCCGTTCCCTGGCTGCTGTGGGCCTGTTGGCACGCATTGCACTCGCAGCCGACTTCGACTGGTCCGCTATCGAGCCTTCAGAGCAGCTGAAGTACCATGCGTGCTACGATGGGTACCAATGCGCGAGGCTCTCTGTGCCGTATGACCCCCGCTCCCTCACACGTCCTACTGTCCACCTCTGCTCATCTTTTAACGACGGGAACCTTGCAGACTAGATTGGCAGGATACCAACAACACCAAGAGAGTCGCTATTGCCATTACCACCCTCCGCGCCACGGTCCCATCAGATGACCCGTCTTTCGGCGGGACAATCATCCTCAACCCTGGAGGCCCGGGCGGCTCTGGTGTCAATTTCGTCCAGAGGCTTGGGCGTCGGCTCCAGGCTATGACTGAGGGCAAGAAGCACTACGAGTTTCTGGGCTTCGATCCTCGCGGTATCGCCTACACGACTCCTAGAGCCGACTGCTTTGGCGCAAGTCATGTATTTGCACGAGACTCTCTGCTCTTGGAGGCAAGGGGTATTGGTGGACTCGAGTAAGTTTCTCGAGAGCCGACGCGTAACCAGTGTGGTGCCTAGGTCGTTGTCCGCGTACTCTAACATACCTATCTCGATCCGCAGTGCAAGTGAAAGTGGGCTGAGGCGAGTCCTGGCTCTGGACCAGGCTTTCGGCAGCCTCTGCGAGACGAAGGATCTGGACGATGACATCCTGGCATACGTCTCAACGGCGTCCGTTGCACGGGACATCATTGAGATTACCGACCGGGCGGAGGAGCTTCGCCGTGCAGAGCAGGCCGTCTCCCCGGATCCAAACCAGCACCCTCTGAGTGCTGGCAACGAGGGATCCCACGACAAGCCTACGCGTGTCTTGTACTGGGGCTTCAGCTACGGTACCATTCTCGGCAATACCCTCGCATCTATGTTCCCGGGACGAATGGGAAGAGTAGTGCTGGACGGGGTGGATGATGCCTATGACTACCACGAGGGCAAGTGGCTGTGCAATCTCCTTGACACCGAGAAGATTGTGGACTACTTCTATGATACATGTTTTGACGGCACAGAGAACTGCCCGCTTTGGAAGAAAGGCGATAAATCGGGAAAAGACATCAAGGGTCGCATCGACAAGCTCATCTCAGATGCCGATATCAACCCTATCAGCCTGGTTCAGAGCGATGGGTCCTCAAACCTGAGAATCATCACAGGCAACGACATCCGAGCAGCGTTCGTCTTGTAAGCAAACCCCACAGTTGTTTCCCCTGTCGGCTTGACGCCCCGCTAAATGGTCAGTGGCCGCGGCAGACCTTTGTACGCACCTCTGCCGTACGGCTTTGATTTTCTCGCCACTATTCTAGCCCACGCGCTCAAGGGTAACTACTCACTGATCGCCCAAGATCTCGCCCTGCCGCTTCTTCAAGACGCCTGCAGCATTGACAACTCCACCAAGCCCGGTCCGGACGACGCACAAGCCGCCATCCTCTGCGGCGACGCTGACTTTGCCGATCCAGACGGCCCTTATCACAACGGCACGAAGCAGGGCGTTGAGTTCTGGAAAGGTTATGTCGAGACCCTCAAGAACCAGTCGCCGACTTTCGGGCCTTCCTGGTCAGCTATCTCCTCGACCTGCTCCGGCTGGCGCATCCGACCAAAGTGGCGATTCGCCGGTCCCTGGGGTACTCCGCCTGCCGATCCAAGCCTGAAGGAGGGCGTGCCGGCCGCTCCAATATTGTTTACTTCCAGCAGACTGGACCCGGTGACGCCGCTATACGATGCTTACTTGATGTCAAATGACCATCCAGGGTCAGCTGTCCTCATACATGAAACTGTTGGGCACTGCGCCGCGGCGACGGGCTGGAGCGAATGTTTCAATGAGCGCATCAGGGCGTACTTTGATGACGGCATCGTTCCCGCGAACGGGACTGTGTGTGATACGACTTGTAAACCGTTCTCAAAAGACGGATACTGCCTACCTCCGGCTGAAGTCGTGGCCGCCGGTGTTGAGGAGAGTTTCTTCGGGTTTGCTGCCGACCGTCGGTCAGGATGGTCTTTCAGACCCTTGGGTCTCATCTAGGTAGGCAGAATGAAACGCCACAAAAAGGAGTGCAAAGGCCATTGAGATATAAAGGCTGGACCATCTGAGTACATCAAAAGCGTGCGTACAGCGAACGCAATGGCTCCTTCGAACGCGATGATAGGGAGAACGAGGCTTCCAACACCACTCATGGTACTCCACTCCATCAATGAATTGATACATGTGCCATGCAATACCAGAACTCGTGTTGTATACAGGCTGTTCATCTGACGTAGCAAGCATATGGGTGCCTTGTTCAGAAGTCACATCTGCCTGACCAGTGCTACTTGAGTAGAATTGCATGCATTTCATCGTTTCAATGGCCGGAGGGAGATTGTGAGAGCAGTCCCGTACAATCATCGTTCGGCCGCTTGAGCAAAATGCCTTTGTTGACCCATATTCCTATCACGGGAATAGAGTCATATCTTTGTTGCCAGGAGCAAGACTGCAGGCCACGAGACATTCCATGTCTTACCTTTCATTTTGGCTTCCAGGCGTCCTAGCATCTCTCCAACTTCGTCCGTAATGTAGTACTTCTTTCTGGCAATCGCAGAGTCGATGAACCCCTTGGCCCAATCGAAATCCACATTCTCCCTGAGCAAAAAGCTCCTGTCCACTCCCTCATCCACGACGATCTCGCCTTCTCCAATGAGGTTGATGTGCTTCATGTCAAAACCTATTGCGTCTCTACCCAGCATGTGCAACTCTCTGTCCGTATTCCACTTTACACGTTCGACGTCTTTGAACTGGGCAGGATCAAAGGCAACATTGTCCAGCCATGACTCAATCATAGTGCAGGGCTTCTCAAGGACGCTTCCCTTGAAAGGCCGGAACTCGTCATACGAGCGGTTGAGTATCTCCTGGAAGAGCGCCTGTACACCTGTCACCTCTGGGCTGTGCTCATCGAGCCCAGGGATAGCGAAGATCGGCCCGCCGTAGAACCAGATGGCCAGCGTGCCGGCGGGCCGGAGGAGCTTCGCGAATGCGGACATGGCTGCGTCAATGTCCATCAGCGGGATGCACTCTGCGGCCGTTATGAGATCTGCTGTGCCCGCCCGATCCTTGTTGGCTGAGATGACGGCCTCCGCCTTGCCGACCTCGAGGCTGACGTTTCTGAATGCCTTGAAGGCCTCACGGGCTTTGCTGATGATAAAGGCGTTAGGGTCGCTGCCGTGGACTCGGCTGAACTTCTCAGCGAGGGCGGACACGACCTGGCCGGGCCCGCATCCGACATCGTAGGCGGTGTCATAGGAGCCAGAATGGGCGTCATGGTAAGCGAAGAGCCGGTCATAGAGTGTAGAACCGGTGTAGTCGGGTCTGGCTTTCAGATAATTCTCCCAGTCGAACTCTGGCAATTCCTCAGCAAATATGTTGGTGAATTCTGTTGCAGGAGGCATGTTGTCAGTTGATGGAAGCAGTTCATTCATTTGGTGAGGTGGTGAGTCCATATCTATACTATCCCATGGATGCGTGAGCAAGCCAACGACCATGAGGTCGATCTTATGGTTGCACAAGATGGAGAAGCCCCAAAGTACAGTCAGCATATTTCGAGCTAACAAACAAGGTTCGCCGCTTGGTACTCTGTCAGTTGAGTCTACGGAGAGGAATCAATGACCGAGAAACCAAGCGTCGCCCATAATTGGCGTGGTTATTTCAAGACGAATTTTTGATCTGAATATTTCTGTATTCTGAGACTCTACCAACAATATTTGAAGTGACCTTCCGTATCCAACCACAATGGTTTGTTCCTTCCTACAAGAAGAATACCATATGACGTCTCCGCTGTACAGTAAGTATCTGAATAACTTAGGTTTCCCTTTCGTGCATTCTAGCACACAACAAATAGATGGAATACGAGAATGGTGTTTCTACTAAATTTGAGCAGATGAATGTGTGGCTACATTTGAACACACAGGATTGCAGTCTGGGACCGTGAATCGTGAAAACCCAGATCAAATCATTGTCATTTCATATTGAATTAAGACGTGTAATTATCTGAATGCAAGTAGATATACTCTAGCCCAGCGTCGAAGAGGGCAGCTTTGCAACACTCCATACTATATTGCTAACTATGAAAGCCTGAAGCTACTGCGGAGCTCTGAAGCTTCTTACATATCAACCGAACTGAGATGATCTTCGGCCTTTTGGAGACCATTGACAGTCGCAGTAGTCCGTCTGGATCTTGGCAGATCTTCTTTGTCTGCTTTGAAACAGCACCCACTCTGTGCTTCACCTTGTCTCAGAATATTGAGCCCGGAATTGAGCCCGGAATTGAGCCCTGCTGGATCGATATCAGATGACTGAGGCAGTAAGACGAAACCACAGGATATGGCATAATCATTTGCTTGGGCTTCTGTCCAGACTTTCCGCCCTTTCCCCTTCAACCACTCTGAGCTGACAAACTCTTCGCCTCAAAATCTTGTCAACGCCGATCCGATATCATAATGAGCGAAAGAAACCGCCTTTCCCGGGACCAGAGGTGGAACGCCTCCATGGGGATTCATTTCGGGCGCAGTGCTCAAGTGCCAAACGCACTTCAACCGCCCAATCCCAACGCCAACGCCGCAGCGCCTTTCCCGATTCCAGTCGGAGCGCCCGTTAGCGGTGCCACATTCAACTTACGACACCACCTGATCTACTGGATTGCATTGCTCTTGGTTGCTCTACTGTACCTGCACATCGGCCACCGCGTGAGTTTCGAACCGACAGTGTTTTATCAACCCCGTTTATTCTGGCGGAGTCTTGCGGCGGAGATTGCAACGGCAATAACAAGATTTGCCCTGTGGTGTCACGGTATTTTAGAAAAGTTAGAGGTGTGAGAGGATAGGATGAGCATTCCACTTTCCACACATCAAATGGTAGGCTTGTCGTTTGCTTTTCCACCGATGTCGACGTCGACGTCGAAGTGATTCCAGCTTGTCGTGATCATGACTAAGTATTTCAAGACAGGCTCCAACGTCCAGGGTAAAGGTAAGTGAAATGTCTCAATTATTGGCTCTCCTAGCTATTGGAAACGTGGGAAATTAATAGGAAAATAGTACACAAGGCCTGTAGAGAGAGAAGCAAGCACATTCAGACCTTTTAAACCCATGCGCCAAGAAAAGTTTACACCACCACCCACCGCACAGTCTACTCATTCGTCGTGATTCTTCATGCTGACGGAGATGAACGAGCTCGTCGTGCCATGCGACTCATTGCCATCCGAGTATGCGTGATCAAACTCCATAGGAGTCGGCACCAAATCACACATCGCCTCTTCCACCAAGTTCGCAACATCCCCGGCGCACCCAAAAGAGAGACTCCATCCCGCACCTCCTTGCCCGTACGAATGCACAATCCTGCTCGGCCGCTCCGTGCCGGGGACGTTCCGGAGCTCCCTCTCGACGCGCACGTTCTTCGACCTGAACGGCCGGAGGCCCTGGGACAGGGGGTACATGGAGTCGAGGCGCGCGTTCTTGAGACCCGGGAGGAATGCCTCGCAGCGCTCACGCATGCGCCTCACGATGGGCGTGTCGAGCGTGAGGTCCAGCTTCGTCTCGTGCGGCTGGGTGATGCCGCCGATGAGGAGGATGTTGTCGTTGCGCGGGACCAGGAACACGATCTCGTTGGAGTCGTGCGCGGCGTCGGCCGTTATCGTCAGGGCTGCCTCGACCTTGGCGAAGTCCCTGCCGTCGTTGATGACCCGGATCAGGGCCCCGCGGATCGGGTAGCAGGTCGCGTCGCCGGCGATCTCGGTGCCGGCCAGGCCGGTCGCGTTGATGATGGCGTCGGCGCCGAACCGCGCGCGGAGGGTCTCTTCTTGGTGGAGCAGGTCGCCTGTGATTGTCTCCGTCACGGTTGAGGCGCCCTTTCCGTGGACTAGGCTCATCAGCCACATCATGGCCTGGTCGGTATCGATGATGGGGGCGAGCAGCTCGTAAGCATCCACGGCGCCATAGCTTGGGTTGACGTTTCGCTGCTCCATCAACTTGGTGTCCTGTCGGAAGCCCTTCACGCCACTCGAGATGATCTCGGCCATCTTTGAGAACTGTGCGGGATCCTTCTCGACAGGTGTTGGGAAGAAGAAGTCTGAGGGCATCATCTTCACCCCGGAGGCACGACTCAGCTCCGGGAGCGAGGCGATGGCGTCCCAGGCATGATAGGCTGTCATGCACCAGCGCTTGGAATTTGAAAGGGAGATGCGGTCCGTGTGGGCTCCGCAGACAGCAGGTGGGTATTCCCAAAGGGCACCCGCGATCTGGGCCGTGAGGCGGTTGCTTGGGGTGAAGTTGGCCCAGTCCTTGGACACGATGGTGACCTTGTACCCCTTGTCCAGGAGAACCCACGCAGTCACGAGACCGGTCACACCTGCGCCGATAATAAGAACGTGGGGAGATGCCGCTGACGATTGGACGAGACGTCCGGGGTAGGGCGTCAGATCCCGCCACATGACGAGAGACGGGACGTTGTGTGAGACCATCTTGTGTACTGACAGTGTGGATTGGGCGTGTTAAATTGAAACGATGGTACTACAGGTGACGGGGGGGGGGGTTGGGAGGTGTGCAACCAAGAGCTGTTCGGAAGGTGGATGTCAGTGGCGCCTGCCTTCAACGGGTCTTCGGTAGAGTAGAGCAGGGAGAGATGATGGCATAGTCCCTCAGTCTGGATGAACGTCGGCACCACGGCCACTATATACCTTGAGGTCCTGCCCACCACCTCTTTCTCGAAGCTGTTCATGTCGGGTAAAGAGTTGTTGGCACGGACACAGGCGCCACTGACATTGGCTCGTCCCACACTCTCACGAACCAACAGCGAAGCACAGCACAGCACCGAGACCTGCCAACGCGGAGTGAATCCCACGACTTCTGCCTCAGGCTGACGTGAACGCTTACGAAACTGGAGTCGGTCCCGCCGGGATGAGGATGAGCTCACATTTCCCGCCGTGTTTCTGCCCGGGAGCGGAGCGTATGTCATGCATCTTGACGCCTTGGCAGGTTCTCGCCAGCGGCAGTGAGTGTTCGCGATGAATAACAGACGGCCCGGGGCTTAGCCAAGCCCGGGCGTTGGGCTTGCTGACCGTGCAGGACGACAGCTCCGTGGGGCAGGCTTAGCCCGTTGTCCCAGATCCGATCCCATGGGTATGGGCCGGTGTCGATAGGGCTGAGGCTCTGGGGAGTGGGGGGCACACCGCACAAGGAGTGCCACTTAGTAAGATATTGGGGGCCAAAGGCCCGAGTCATTGGATGATTCCAAAGGATGGACCTTGGGAAGGCAACAATTGGCAGTTTTGGTGACGATGTCGAGGTCCTTTTGACTAATCCGGTGCATTGTATTCCGCTTTCTGACACGGCTCTCGCCTAAGTGGCCAGTCGGTCCCACAAGAGTGCGGTCCGAGGCTCCGCTGTTTCATTCATCGGTGAAGGCTATCCAAGACCCTACCTGGGTATAGGGCTGAGCCGACTCGCCGGATGTAACGGTGGCAGGATCCTGCAGGCCACGGCCGGTCACAGGACCCGTTTCTTGGTGCTTGATATTTCCGACCCGGTTCGAGACTGCAGTAGTATATTATGCAGCTGACGCCACATGGCTTCAGTGAGCCCAACAAGGAGGCGGGCCCTCCTCAAGTCAGGCTAGATTTGTCCAACTTGCACTCCTTACTGGGCAGTGGCTCCCCTTCGCCTTGATTACATGCGTCTCAGAAGTGTGCCTACTTCCCTACCACATCAGGGTTTCCATTCTCCATCAGCACGCGTCGCTCCTACTAGAGTCCGGCCCGCCCCCTCGGACTCGTCCACACTTGGGCTGTGCGAGGCTCTTGTCGTGGATCAATCTAGCCACTCTTCAGTGCGGTCGGGTCCGGCGGTGAGAGAGGTGATCATCGGTCAATAACGTGCAGGAAACACGGATCACGAGAATCTGAGATGACATCATTGAGTTATTTGTATATTTGGGCATGGGACTCTTAAGCCCGTAGCTTGTCCCAAAAGAGAACCAACATGGAGTGATGTGACAGCTTCAGCCACAGCTTGCGTGACGACTTTCAGCCGCAAGAGTGGAGTAGGACCCCCCTTCAGAATCAACCTGTGCGAACCGAAACAGCGCTCGCATTCCCTTCGGTAGAAATCTAAATGTCCGTCGTGTGTTGCACTGCTGACTGAGGCCGAGACTGAGAATCGCATCAGGTGTTTGAGAAGATCGACAGACATTGAGTTTGGCCGGCTGAACTCAAAGAGTATTGGTGTCGTGCCTCGTATCGGAACGTTCGGTCTCCTTTGTTGTTCCAAAGAGGTGTCAACTGGTGCGGCTCATTATTCGAACATCTTGATAAACTATGCCATGTACGCTGTGGCTTGAGCTGGAGCCCAGGGCTTTGGCATTGTTTTCAAATAGGTTTGGCGCGAGGACAGGCACCGCGAGGATTCAAATTTATATCTATTCTGTTAAGACGTTAACAACGAGTTATGGCCTTGGCAGTTTTCTTGCCATCGATTCTATCATACGATTGTGCTTTCATATACTAAGCGGAAGTAAGATTGCCAGGTCTATGTGATCAATGATACGTAGGTATAGAGGTGCGGTGTCAGTACCTCTCATTCAATGGGCAGGCTGCGCTGCTTTGTTTCTTCGGGAGGTTTCAACCCAGCGAAACAGCAGCCACGATGAGAAAGAGTGGGATGAACTTCTGTGTAGCTTGTTCGGAGGCCAGACCTGTCAGGTGACACTCGGATTGACCATATGATTCAAGTGTTGCCTGACTAAGTAAGTTCACTAGGTTCTAAGCATGAAATGAATACTCACTTTTAGTTGCAAACATGCCCAATACTTTTCCAGAGCTTGGAATAGTACAAGAGTTAACTAGTGCAATAGGCACAAGGCAACCAAGAGAAGTAGTCTATATTGATTGAGTGGGATTACAAGGTAAGCTGGTAATTTACGGCCAGGGCGTCTACCGTCATGGCCAGGGCGTCTCAGAGGACTAGTCGCACCTTCAACTTATCCCCCTTGACGATTTCTTTCTCCTGCGCCAAAAGTTCCGGCATGTCCCACGTGCAATTGATGTACCGCCCGCTCAGCCACTGACGCTTTTCCGCCGTCAGGTAGACGATCGTGTCAGCACTGATCTGTGGAGTGTCGACAAAGACTGCGGCATCACATCAGCACAGATTCCACTAAACACAGCCAAAGTGGGACTCGCAGGATAAACTCACTCGCGCTCATGGTCTTGGCAACCTCCCCATCGATCCCACCAGCCATGTCAGTAAGCACGTTCCCAGGGTGCACGCACCACGCGCTCACGCCCTCGGTTCCATACTCCCGGTCCACGAACTCGGCAATGCGCAGGTTCGCCAGCTTGCCGGACTGGTAGTGGCTGTAGCCCTCGCCCACGATGTGCGCCCCGACGCTGGCGACGGTCACGAACGTCCGCAGGCCTCCCCCCTGGCCCTGCAGCAGGAGCGGCAGGAAGTACTTGGCCGCGAGGAACTGGCCCCGCACGTTGACCTCGTACACGCGCCACCACTCGTCCGGGTCCGCGTCCGTGATGCGCGCCGAGTTCCCCAGCACGGCCGCGTTCTGCACGACAATGTCCAGCGGGCGCCCATCCAACTCGCGCGCCACCGCAGCCGCCGCAGCCGCCACGCTCTCGGGGGACGACGCCTCTACTGCGACGCATACAACACGTAGTGCCGAGGCGTCCCGAGCTGCTGCCTTCAGCTCCTCGGCCACGGGCTCCAGGGAGCTGACGGAGCGTGCGCTGATGGCGATGAGGCTGGCGCCGCCGCGGGCGAAGGAGACGGCGACGGCCTTGCCTATACCCCTGGACGCTCCACCGATGTACACGGCGCGGCTCTTGAGGAGGGCTGGGTCGAGCCTGCTGGGGTCGATGGCTGGGTATGTGTCACTGTGGACCGCCTTCGTGACGGTGTAATCACCTACACACGGGGTGGGGACGGCGTGCGTTAACGATGAGTAATTCTCACGGTGGGAAGGTTTTTTTTTTTTTTTTTTTTTTTTTTTTTTTTTTTTTTTTTTTTTTTTGCGGTGGGGTATGTAAGCAGGTATGTGTGTACTGAACTGACCTGGTCCTTCGAGGATGTTCGGGGTCCCCTGCGGTGGAGGCATGATCTCGGTCTGTGGTTGTTTGCTAATTGCTTGGGTCTCGATATGAGGTGGCTTGGGTGAGATTAGCACGCGGTATGTGTGTGCTTCAGCACGAGACAACACAAAACAGGCCAGCACGCCGGACGACTCTTTATCCTAGAGCCTCATGTTTGACAGAATTGTCAGCACAACACCAAATGCACGGCGTTAACACTTGCTGACGCCAGCACCATCCATCCCAATACCTTAAATCCGGCCGGCGCCAAGGGTCAAATTAATCAGCATCACCATCACCGCCGTCTCCGTCCGGCCCCGCTGTCCACATGCATGTCAAACCTGCGCTCTTCTCCTTGGGGCCTGGCCATGTGCGGCAAGGGGAACGTACTTCATGAAGTGGAGTTTCTGCTCGCAGAGAATGCTCCGCAGACAACCAACACATGCATAAAAGGAGTGAGATTCAAGCCTTCGACCACTGCAAATGGCACACCGCCTTCGTCAATGTATTCTACATGAGAAAAAGCTGACTGTACATGTACAAGCCCCTCCAGGGCGTTTCGATTCCATGCAGCCGGTCACCGGCCATGACGCGTGCGCAGGTGCGCCTTGCGATGGGTGGGCGGATACTACCCCTTGTTTGTATCACGGGACAAGCAAGATGCGATGATGACATGCAGGGCACGGCAGTCATGGCGCGCCTTGCTGCCTGAGACGATACTGATCATGCTGTCCGCCTCCGCGTGTGTGTATGTCTCTTCGCGCGTCCCTTGGCTCTTCCTCCTCTTCCGGGGTCCCAAGCCTCCGTCAGTCCGTCTTTCGTCATGGGACATGGAGCTGGTCACCTCTTTCTGACGCCTCATAGCCCATGGGTGGTATCAATGCGACGATCCCACACAAGCATAATCCTTCTCAACTCGCGACGCGTGCCTATGTCTGCGCCGCGTTCAAGCGAAGTAGCTCTTCCAGAGAACGCCTTCCAAGTCCTCCAGCTGCTCAGGCGTGAAGTACTGTACAAACACACGTCAGTAAATGAAGAACGCCCTCGACCAAAAAGATTGAGGGGCTTCAGGCTCACCTTCTGATCAACCGTCCAGCTGTCCTGCCTCGTCTTCTTGAACTCTGCTAACACAGTCTTGGCCGCTTTGCCCACTACACCCGGATCTGTTGCAGGCCGCCTGGCAAGGTGTGCAAGCACATCTGGCATCCACGGTGGAGGCGGGGTAGCATAAGGAAAAGCCTCAATAAGTGCTCCCAACCCTAGGACGGCCGCATGACGTCGTACTACCTGCTTCTGGGTGTCCACTGGCGTGTCCGTTCCGGGGAGCTTGCGCTTTGGCATCGGGTTGTCCCGGAGCTGCTGCTTGAACCTCTCGATCAAGCTCTTGATGATGGGGGTGCGAAGGGACACCGGGGAGCACCGGATCATTCCGGCGAGGGTGTTGGATGCGCAGTCGCGGACCTCGAGCTGTGTGTCGGAAAGCATGTCGCCCACAGCTTCGAAGAGCATCTCTCGGTGCTTAGGTGCCGTTAGGAACAATCGCCGGAAGTAAATGACTTGCATGTTCACAAGTGCACGCAGGCGCTGGTGCCACGAAGAAGCAGACCTTCCTATGCGGATGAGGGCCTTGATGAAGGCTTCGTCCTCACCTTCGCGGAACGAGATGTTGGCCAGGTGCCGGTATACGTGATATGCCAGCCGCATCAGCTCTGGGTCTTCCTTGACATCCATCATGTGAAGCAGCTGATCGATAAAAGGGTCTGGGAAGAACGGAACAAGCTGAGTACACTCTTGAGAGCTAAGCATCGAGTCCAGCCAGGTGAGCACTGTCTTTGATCCGTTCGTGTAGCTGGATGGCTCCTGCTGCCCTGGGGTCCGCTCGTGCCGCCACTTCTCTAAGCGAGCGAAAACCTCCTTGATAGTGGCAGAAAACTCTGTTGTTGGTTGGTAAGGTCGAATGCCTACAGAAGACTCCGCCTTGTTTGCCTCAAGCAATTTCGTCACATTGGGGAAGGACTCATGATATCGCGTACGATAGATCGTCGCGATAACCCGACCAATGGCCTCTCGCACAGATTTGTACGGATGGTCAATGTGAGCCAGGAAGTCTTCCAAAATCGGCTTCTCCAGCTGGAAATGCCAGCCCGCATCGTTGATGACGAGCTCGAGTAGTTGCACCTTGGCTGCTTCCTTGAAGGCAGCATTGGAGGACATGTCCAGTCTGAAGGAGCTCAAGGACTCGACAATCTCTCGAGAGCGGCGAGGATCCTTCGCGTCTACCGTCAGGTGCAGACATGTCATCCAGTACTGAAGATTCTCTGGAGTCAAAGAATCGTCGAAGATCTTGAGCATCATCGGCCCCGCGAAGCTCCAAACCTTGTCTCTGTATTCTCGGGGGTCGTCGATGCCGCCTGACAACATAGCGCCTAGGATCTCTGCCGTGGCCCGGTGTTGGTGCTTGTCGCTCCCATCTCCGTAAATATCCTGGACCAACTCCTTGATGTCATCAAATTTGACAGATGTGACGCCGTAGTTCATCAGGTCGAAAACATGCATGAGAAGGATCACGTTCTGCATGCGGAACTTGTCTGCACTCGCATCACGCGGCTCTTGCTTCATAAACTCGAAGCACTTCGCGAACCACTCTTTCGTTAGGAGCTTTCCGACCTGCTCTCTAACTTTTTTTCGGTCTCATCGTACGCCATGAACGGCTCAGGATCAGCCTTGGAAGCGTTGAATTTCTTGCCCCATACCAGCCATCCAGGGTGGTCAGCATCGACAAAATACTGGGCCTCGTCGAGCTTGGCAAAGGAGCCGATGAACTTTTTAGTCCAATCCGGGTCACTGGACGGAACATCGATCTCCAATTTGACGTTGTCTGAGTCTTCTTCCAGCAGATAGTTCCGGTAATCGTGGCTGTAAACAGCTCTCAAATCAATGCTCGAGAAGATATTCGAGAAGGCCAACTGGAAATTGGCTCGCAGGCCTGGGTGGTCATCGTTTGTACCGTTGACCACCAGGTCGACAAACTGAGGGGGCGCGAGGGTGTCGAAACGGAGAACCATGTTAGTAGCGAAGATGGCGCACTTCAGACTGACTTTCCAATGTGCTCCTTTGGCTTTCTCGATCAGCTCGAGGCCCAGCTTGCCCTTCTTAGCCTCGACCCGCTTCCTGCGCTCAAGAATGAAATCGTGCCTTGTTTGAATGACCTTGGAGCAATCCTCGGCAGGCTTAATAGTGTCGACAGCTTTGGCGTCTACAACTACCATCCGCTCAAAAGGCTTGCCAAAGTCAAGCAGAGGGTAGAGCGCGGTGGACAGCAGCCGCTGTATCGAGGCCTTGTCAACGCTGGCCGTCTGGATATACAGCCGCATCAAGTCAGGGGCGAAACGCCAGTCTTTCAACAAGGTCTTCGTCAGGGAAGTGAATAGCAAAGTGTACATTGCACCCTTGATGTGGTCGTGGTCGTTGTCTTGGAGAGCCTTGCGGTATTTTTCGAGGATAACCGGAATCACCAGGGGACGACCGCCGATGAGCACCTTCAGCGACGAGTCTTGCGCGCCTTGTGCGACTCTTCGCACGTCTGCGTACGAGGATGTGCATGACTCGGCAAGATCAAGAAGAAGCCGCTTGTCGAGATCGCTCTTGTCGATACGAAGCGTTGTACTTCACTCGCTGAAGCTGGTACGCATCTGCTCGCTTGACCAGAAGGGGTCGAGGATAGACCTTGCGCAAGCCAGGAATCTTGAACGGAGTGATATCGGCCTTGTATAACCTCGACAGACGCTCCAGCGGATGAGCAGATCTCTCGATGCCAACATCTGTAATCCACGTGCGGAACGTGGCGTACAAAGCGGTGAAGCAGGTGACATCATCCTCCGCGTTGGTATTCAGGAAGCCGTGGGTTCTGGAGAGGAGCCGTCCGATGTCCTCCCGAAGCTCGTGAATACGGCTATACAGCGAACTCTTCGCGTCGAGGATGTACCCGGAGGGATACCGATACTGACGCTTCAATTCTTCGTCATCCGCAACTTCAGCTAGGGGATCTTCGTCCTCATCCATAATGGTATCATCATCAGCTTCTATCCTGCCATCCTCTGTCCTTTGGCCGTTGGCTTCGCCAGCAGCCCGCTTAGGGTCAAACAGAGCGGAGACACCAGAGATAACGAGCCTCAGCTGCGTGAGCTGCCTCGATACCTCGTCTCCCCATTCTTTGTTCTTGCCCTTGCGGCTGACAGGGGTTTGGTCACTCATCAGCGATTCCAACCTCTCAGACGCACCGTGCGCTTGGGATTCAAAAAGCTCGACGGCGAACTGAATTTCCTCGGTGGAAGGTCGATGCCACTTGATAGTCAATTCTGCGGGGGTCGTGGTCTTGCCCCAGTCGTCGACGTCCAAGCCCCTCTCGATGACCTCTGGTTCGTAAAGATTTGTATCGACGGAATAGGTATGAGTCAGGTTCAACAGCAAGTGGTGAATATAATTTGAGATGTGTATGGTCGGTATGCCGCGACACTTGTCTTGCATGTACTGGGCGATGTCAAACAGTTCTGTTTTGTATTTGAGAACCTCGGCGCCGACGTTAACGACAGTCATGCTGAGCATGCTCACGTGCCATACGAGAGCGCGGTCCCGGGGCAACACATCAGTGCCACTGCTGCGGTCCGACGCAGCACCATTGTAATCGATCTCATTACGGATGTTGACGATGAGCATGGGAATGAACGCCTTGAGAGTCTTCTCTGGGTGGACCTTGCAGAGGGCATTGCAGATCCAGGCCATAGCATCTCTGGCCTGATGAACAACGTGAGACGACACGAAAGCTGCTACCTTTTCCAGAGCCTGGTCAAAAAGCTCTGGGGACAACGACGCAAAGAGCGGGGTCAGGGCTGCAGGTAGTGTGTTGATGACATTGTCTTCGGGCGAGTTGGCGCGAACCTGTGAAGCGTCGGGAAGGTTCTCCAGGAGAGTGAAAACTTTGCCAAGTAAAGTGAGAACGAACTCCCCAAAGGCTGCCGTTGAAGAGCGGACAATGTTGGCCTCGTCCTCGTCTGACAACTCTTCCTGATAGTTGATCTGGACATCCTGACCTTCGCGCTCCATGCGATCCATCTCCCCCTGGACCCATTGCACAGCCAGGGCCGTGTCCCGTACCTCAGAACCTTCCTTGACAAGTGGCACGAATGGAATGCTGTATGCGATACTCTGTATAAAGCTGAGCGTATATTGTGTCTTGCCCAAGTCGTTGGCGTCGATGCCAGGCAATGCCAAGGCCAACAAAGCTGTGAGATGGCACCTGAAGCCCTTGTGTTTTGACATGACATTTGCAACCATCATCAGACCGCTCAAACTCGAAGTTGTGCGGTGCACTTCAACCAGCCCCTGCAGACTTGGGTAGAATCTTTGCAATGCACCAGGCAGTATGATGTCTGGTTCCAGGTAGGCCAGCCATTGCAGGGTGCTCGTGTAGTAACTGACGGCTTTCATACTCTTCGCGAAGAGACCCATGAAGGTGACCTCTCTGAGCGCGAGGACGAAACGTTTCTTGAGCTCCGGGTTGATCCTCCGATCAGCCGGTGTGTCAAGCTCGCCCACCTGCTCACGGTTCCATCTGGATACGAAGCCGTGCGTGAGGAAGAAGACAAACTGTGCCAAGAAATTGGTCCATGAGCCTTGATTTGACGGGTGGAAAAAGGTGTCAATAGACTCTATCAGGCCTTCAAGGCTGGCCATGACGGAGCTCTCGGCCTTCAGGCACTTGGGAGACAGCGAGTGTACGATCCACCTAGCGACAATGTGCGGCACGGGGTGTCGTTTCTTGTCCCTCTCGAGAAACACGGCCGCGCCCATGGAATAGTCAAGTGCGGTGTATGGGGAATTAGCCTGACCGACGGGGACCTCCGTGAGACGCAGTATGGCAGTGAAGACGAGGTCAGACTGGTCTTTAGTAAATATCCCGTGCTGCGTATAAGGTACGTGGGTGCAGCTGAGGTAGTCTCTGGCTATCCGCGAGTAGATGTCTAGGAAGAATATGTCAAAAGACTTGGACCTCGTCATGAGCGACCACAAGTGGAAGTATGTGGGCAGGTAGTCGGAAGGCTGCGAAAGGGGCTGCGAGGGCAAGGACGGAGCAGTGGGAACCAGCACATTGATGGCCGCTGTTGCAATGTACGCGCAGGACAGGTCGGAGGTGCTGAACAGAGGCAGGAATTCTCCCAGCATCTCTTGGCGATCGCTTGGGTCGAAGTAGGTCTGCGCGTGCATGGCTAGCCTCAACAAGTGTCTTCCGCTCTTCCTCCTACTCGACTGGTGCGCGGCACTCTCTGAGGGCAAGACCAGGCCCTTCAATTCCTTCCACAGTGGCCGCCAGTCGAGGTATAGGTCATCGCCAGGTTTCAGGTAGGTTTTCTTCCTGTTCAGGAGACGCGTGAGCAGGCGCCCAGAATAATCTTGGGCCTAGTGGCCGGTGGGAGGGGGGAGGGGGGAGGGGGGGGGGGGGGGAGGGGGGCTGATTGCATACTTGGTCAGAGTGATGACCATCTTTGTGAAACGATCCGCGGTGTTGCTGTCGAGACCGGGCGCCAGAGCAAGATGGTAGTAGAGCTGCGCGAGGGTGGCGCGCAGCTCGCGGACCATCTCGAACTTGAGGTTCAACCATCCTTGTAGCTCCCGGGTCCAGTGCATCGCACCGGGCGCAAAGTCCTCGGCCTTGACGGCAATGTAGAGGTTCTTGAGAATGCCTTGCAGGGCCTCATCGCGCTCATGGTCCTCTTCGACAGCGAAGGGAAGCTGAGAGAAATAGGCGAACGTTCGTGGGCGGTAACGCTTCTTGTCATCCTCGTCCGGGGTCAGAAGAGGCACGCCGGGTGACGTGGAGCGAGATATTGTGTCAACGGAGGAGAGGTTCTGGACAAGGAAATGGGCAGCCTGTGCTGCGGCAGCAGACATGGCTGCGGCGGAGGACGAGTGCCCGTCTGATATATCGTCCATGTTGGTGGTTTGCGCGGAGATGTGATCGAGATGGCAGCTACCAACGACCAGGCTGGTCACGCGAGGAACAGCGAGGGAGGTGTGGTTCGAGGACTGGATGCGAGAGTCCGGATGCCGGATCAGAGGCGGAGCTTGTGGTCGGTCGCACAGGTCGAGGTTGGGCCGGCGAGGCAAAGGCGGCGAGGGGCGCCTAGCACAGGATGGGACGAAGCTGGGTCGGCGGAGGAGTCGAATGGAGCACGAGCACGAGAGGATATGCTGTGCGGTCGGTCCTCGCAGTAAGTGGCTGTTGTATCTAGATTTCTAATCGAGCTCGTGTCGAATCGTCAACGAGTCTTTTGGAGGGGCCCAAGTGTTCAGGGTGTTGCCGGCGGCTTCACGGCTGAGCTTCCAAAGCTCCGGGTGCTCGCCGCGACCACCCAGATCCAGATCTGGAGACTGGTGGGTGAGGCAGGCGATGGATGCAGAGGGGTGACGTGACGGCAGCTTTCGAACCTGGGGATCGAAGGGACGAGTGCGGGATGGCCGGCCGTTGGATGGGTACGTGGTTGGGGATGTGGGCGACGAAGCAGGTGGTTCGTTTCGAGCCGACGACTGTGCAAGGCCAAAGGCTCGAGACTCGTCAAGGCAGGCCCAAGGCTCCAGGGAGCTTTCGTCACACACAGCGGATGCACGCAAAGTTGGGCTGGGCCGGGCGGAAGTCGGGGGCGGGCTGCTGTGTGGGCACTACCTAGGTAGGCACTTGGACCCAGTGGAAAACGGATCTCTCCCCTAGGTCGCCAAGGACTGAGGTCCAATGCAGCTCTTGGGAGCTCGAGCTTGCCCGGGCCACCACGACCGACTGTGACCTACTGCACGTACAGGACCAGGATTGTGGGGTAGCTCCAGTCGATTTCGGTGGACCCTTGGATCTGGACACCCTGGCCCTGGCCCTGGTTACCTGCCCACCCAGCACTTGAGCCTCCTCCGACTCAAAATGGGCCTGGGTCTGGGTCCGGCAGACGTCTGGCAGAGGTATCTGTTAGTTGCGCTCAACAGGCTGCGAGCAGCGCCAAAAATGTGCGTTATGTGTCTTGGTCACCTGGCTGCACTGACCTCGCATCTGCAGGCACAAAATGACGGGCAGACTGACACACAGAGACAGGCAGGACACTCAGGACCGCTCAGGTTGGACAAAGCTGACCTGCGTGTGGGGAATCTCGCTGCGAGGAGCGTCCTCCCACTGTGAGAGGCGCGGATGACAGCGCCCTGTGATTGATCCAATATCGAAATGCAAGGTCGGACCAACAACGGCTGGTGGTTGGTGTTCGCGACGGCGGTAGGGCGGCAGCGATGCAGATGCAGACGCAGACGCATGAACTAATTAATGAAGCACCATCTGCACGAAAGCTCGAGTCTGTCAACGGTGTTTGGTCAGTTCAGTTCCTCGCGGGCTGCATGCAGGTTGGCGAGGTCTGAGCCGAGGAGGAGTATGTATGTCTGTCTGTCCGGCGTCGAGTGCCCAAAGAGGGCAGGGCCGAGTCAAAAAAGTAATGATGAACGCCTGTAAGTGATCGAGTCTCGGTAATCCCATGTGGGAAAACGTGTCCAAAAGTGTCACTTGATATTGCTCGTATCGTGGGCGTGGTGTTCATGGAAACCCGAACAGGTCATTTGTCTGCAGATGCACCTACCCGCCCAGTCAAAAAGCCAAGTCAACTCTGCAGCAACTCGGCGGGCCCAGCTGCCCTTTTACATACATGTACACAGCATTCGCGCACAACCGCCCAGCTGTCTTTTCTGCGCTCTGCGTGCCCAAAACGTGTCCGGCGAGAGAGGCATCCACCGCCTGACGTATGCGACGGATACCTGCTTTGCCCCGTATCGCCCCGGCCCCGGCTTACCAACGGCAGTCGACGCTTCGGGGAATTTTCTGGAAGCTCAGGCGAAGCAGAGACACTTGCCCTACAATGCACAGAGCTCTACCCCGTATCCTTGAACGTCGGACCTCCTTGATTGGGTAGTCCTCTAGGCGTACAGATGGCCACGCAACTACAGGCAACACGGGAATGACCGCGGCCATGGAAGGTTGATCCTGAAGATGACCACTGCACTGACGAATCGGCGACTGCCTGTTGCACCAAGGACCCTGACATGCTCATCACATAACTCCCGAGGTCACTCGAGCACAGACGGTCGGGGTGTCGAATCAAGGACGCAGCCAGGCTTGACGCGCCCGGGCCGTGTTGGAACCTGACTTGTTCTTTGCAGCTATTATCCGAATTCACAGATCCGCCTATCATTCGTGGTGGCATAGGTCACAACATTGCGTGCAGCAGGCTCCATGCTAGATAATCCAAACAGCCATCACCCGCATGTCCAGCGCTGACGCTGTCACACGTATTCCCAACAGGACGGGCTGGCCATGGGGAAACAGTGCCGAGTCCGGCTTCAGACTTGGGCACCGAGAAGGGACCAGATGGCATATCGCGATAGACTCTACAAGCTACGAAAGTGGAAGCTTTGTGGGCGATTTGGTAATGTCTTTCTTGCCGGAAAATATCAAGGGTTCCTGATCTGCACCCAGAGCTCGCTGTCCGCAGCTAGAGCATCCTCTCTCATCTTCACAACAGGCCTGCAACTCTAGGGGTACTGAGAACTCGGCAAGACCTTCGGGGCCGTCCGGTCTACTGCCGTCAGAATGGTCGCACAGCATGCAGTCCTGGATGCTCTAGTCGTCATGTCTTTGAGCAGGGTGCTTTTCTGTCCACCTTGCCGCTTTGTATCCGCCGCTCGGCTGGCCTCTTGCCTCTTGCCGCAGCGGTTGGGTAATCTTGGGGATACCGGTGCAGGTTTATGAATGGACAGCGAGCAAGAAAGATCCAAGACCACGGATCTCTGATTCTTGTACTGCCGGATGAGGAGGCCAGAAGTGTTTGCGACTCTACTCGTGTTATGCTGTAGTGCGAGAAGACCAACACCTTCGCAACCCATCTGCTTGCCAATGAGACGCTTCCCTTTGAAGTAGGTTTTGTGGTTAGCAGGTGAGTGAAGTGTTACTCGGTCCGACCATGGACTGTTGTCGTGGAAGGTTTTCGCTCATCGCCGCTGCGGACTGGAATGCTTACACCATTGGCACGTCTTCAACAAAAAAATATCAGGGAAAAGGGTCAGGAACAGACAGACACTTCAGAATTGCCATGATCCCATGCTAAGAGAAAAGCAAAATTCACTGCAATGCAGTGACGCAACGCATTGTTGTTCTCAGATGTCACGAGAATAATCCGGAGTCCACATTGTGGCCGTGGCGAGTCCCTGGAATTCCCGGGCCCCAGCAAACCCCCCCCCCCCCCCCCCCCGGCGAAACGCACCCAGCCCCGACTGCCCCCAATAACCCCGTGCCGATGAACATCCCACTTCTGGCACCATCTCATACCCGTCGAGGGCAGGCCCCGCCCCTTACAGACATGGCAGATCTGGATCAAATCAGGAATGCGGAGATGGTCAGCCCCCCGCCGTCCCTCCCCCGGGCAATGCACTTTGGTATCCAGTTTCTGATCTGGGTTCTAAATCTTGCGTGGGCTTTGCAGGGCGTGAGATGATGTCGCACAGCTGGCCTTGGCGCCGCCTCCGGGTGGCTCCACCCTCGCCAGGGCTCATGCCACCCAACATATGAGTAGCTGTAATTGATCATACCATCCGGGCCCGGCGAGACACTTCGTGACACGCACCAGCCAGCCCAGCACGGGCGGCGGGCTGTCGTGTTTGACCGGCCCAGAGCTCATGTGAACGGGTGAAATACCGGGGCACATCTTCAGATATTTAAGTGGTTTCTGCTCGAGGTGGTGCTCTCGAGACGTGGAAGCAGACCATCATCACCCATCTCTTCTCACAAAGACCCCATCAAAGCAAGACAAACCATACGGCACTTGACCGCTGCAAGAAAGAAAAACCATATAAAATAGCCCATCATGACTACCAACTCATACGGCTCGGCCCTCCCAAAGTTCGACTATCCTTCAATCCAGCCAGCCGTCACCAGGGCATCCAGGTTAAAGGCACTGCCTCTGTCGGCGAGAATTGTTTCTGTTGCTGCTGTTGCAGGCATTGGTGAGCGTTGATTTCTGCTATCCGGCACCACATCACCACCAACATTCAGTCGCTGACATTTGACGAACCAGCCTTCTACTCCAGGCCTCTGATCCAGCAACAGCGTGAGCTGCACGCCGCAAGAAAGCCTGCGGAGGCGACCCTACGCCCGGCGAGCGCATACGTTCCTTGGGATTATACTGGACCGGGCAGGACCCTGAATAAGTGAAGCATTGCGGGCAGAGTTTTGAATAAGAGTTGTGTTGTGAGGGCCTGGTAGGCTTGGCGTCATGTTTTGCTGCACACTTGTGGGCCTGATGTTTGGTGTTCTGGCGTTTTGGTCTTTGGGTATTTGAGGTGGGAAAGGGGCGTTTCTCCACGGGCTGGTCGACCTCTCCTGGTGGGTTGCATGGCAATGGCGCTTCGGCCAAGAAACTTCGGAATCGATCCTCAGGCTCATATGTAAAGATATTAAAATCAACTGAAAAATATCTTACAACACGAAATACCCTTCCAAGCGCCTGTGCAGTGATGGTAAAGAGCAACTGTGATGTTGTCATCAACAGCCAGAAATCATCAAATCATGAGTTTTTTCCCCCTGAATTTGGACACTGGCCAGTGTTGGCAATGCGCTGCGTTGTCCGTGGGACAACGTTTAGCCGGAGCGTCTTGCACGTATTGTATTCGATTAATGGGCCCTGTGTATATCGGCAGCGACACCTTGCATCACTGGCCGTACCGTGGAACCAGGTCTCTCATGTCTCCGAGCATTCTTGTCGAATTCTTAGATCAGGCGGCAATTTCTGGGGTACAAGATGGTCTGATAAGTACTCACTGGTCCCTTAAACTCGCATTGTCTCTGAAGAGAGCAGTGACGTGGGTATTGAATCGCCTGTCTCGTTAGCAATTGCGCGGGCATAAAGCGGCCTCGGCCACGCCCTACTCACAGTTTGTACAAGTCGAGCCTTCCTCCATAGTCTTCCTCGGGTGCTGATATCGGAACGACGGAGTGGTAGGCTGCCAGGTACTCTTCACCAAATTTGTTGCAAGCTGGCATCCACTGGCCGAATTCGTCTTGCCGCCGTCAACATTGCCACTCACGCAAGGTTGAGAAGAAGGTCCACCAACATTCGTTGTGTGCGTAGAAGCTGCACGCATCAAAGACAAGCGGCTGATCTTTATCGACGTCAATCCCGGAATTTGCGTACCAAAGGTCCCCGTGGACGAGGCATGGCTTCACCGAGCGTCCTTCAGTCTCGAGTGGTCGAAGCAGGCGCGGTATGACCTTGTCAAAAATAGCAGGGACCAGCTCGTCAAACTCAGGATCATGGCCCTTGGCTTCTACCTCGAGATCGAGTGCAAATCTCAAGTTCTTGGCAAAGAAGACTTCCCAGCTCGTCTCCCAATCTGTCATCTGTGGCAGATTGCCGCTATAGGTAGTCATATGGAAGCCAAGCCTGCCGTTCGGCGACTTGCTGGTCTGATGCAGTCTCGCGAGGCGAGAGGCAAACGCACTGGGTTCGGGCATCATGTCGTGCATCTCGCGAAACTCGCACAGGAAGAAATGCGTTTCTGGTAGAGACTCATACCTTCCCCAAGCAATAGGCCTCGGGGCAAAGTCCGGCGTCAGGGCATATATGGCTTTCATGGACTCAAACTCGCTGTGTACCATCTTCTTGCCGCTTTCGCCAGACAGAATCTTGACGAAGAAATTTGCGGCGCAGCCGTCGCTCGATGTGGTTGCAATCTTGCCGGTATGGGCCCAAAAGCTCGCTCCATGACGTTCCAAGGAGATCACCCTGCAACCAGCAGGCAGCTCTGCAGGTAATTGTCAGTCGTATGCAACACAAGTCGAGGTCTTGAATTGTGGCTCACCGGCAATCACGTTAGGATCAAGGATAGCATTTCCGGCACCAAAGTGGACGTCAATAGTGCCATTATGACCCGTATCCATGGCTCGATAATAGGAAGAGACTGGTCCATGAAGCTGATGTACGAGTTGATCGGTGGTCTTGGGTGCAACTGGGTCAAGCTTGCAGAGGCGCAGCAAAGAGGCACAGTTGAGGCGATCCAGGCCGGGACCCCTGCCGCTTCGGCGCGCGGAAGTCTGCAGTGACTGACCGCGACGCGTTGGTTGACGGAGCTCGGTGCACTCGAGCTCCTCTTCATTTGGTCTTTCTTCGTTTGACCAATATGCACCGCATGATCCTGGATCGATTCTGGCCATGGCCAGCCATAGTGATGGGCATGATTCGATCCTCCAGCCCGGCCAAAATAACCGTCCTCACCCCTGCGGCCTCCAGCCTGCCTCTGCCCGAATTACCAGCGATGAAGGTGCCTGGCTCCTCAACGCCGACATAGACAGTCCGGATTGCATCCTTGAGCTCGATTATGCGATCAACACAGCTTTTATTGCCCGTAAGTCTGCTGTTGCAGGGCTCCATGGTCGTGTACAGAACCGTGTTCTTTGGCAGGACCTCGCCGATGCGGGCCTCGGAGATGCCGTGCTGGTCCGAGATCTTGATGAAGCAGCAGTGCTCGGCGTGTGTGTTCCCAGGGTCGCCAGGTCGGTCGCCAGGAAGCTCCTGGGAGTGGCCTGTGGACAGGATCTCGCCGGTGTCACCGTTCACAAGACAAGCCCCGACGCAGAACTTGGTGGCCGCCGGGGGTGAAAGAGCGGCTTTACCGAGGGCGTAGAGCATGAACTTGTCGTGCTCCCCCGGAGCGATGGCATGATGAGGGTCGTGCGCCATCTCAATGGGCGGATACAAGTTTGGAAACAAGACTACTTGCTGGATGTTGTTGGCCGGTCCTGAAGAAGGTACATGTGGGCAGATGGGTGTGATTACGTAAGCCAGTTGACCACGAGCCATGGCAGACAAGCGATGTGAATGGAAGTCAACAGCAACGTCTGTCCTTTCATAAGTTTTTCCCTCTTCGGTCAAGTAATTGATTTGAGCCGGTTGTGATTATGACTTTATCAATAAATATAATTGAGTATTTGTTTTATCTGGGTCGGCTAAACCCTGCTGGGGTCCGTCATCGACCACGCTTTGGTGACGCACAGCGCAGACGTGTTCCTGTCCTCGATCACTTTATGTCTTGATGGCTACCTAGATATGTGTCCAGTTTCCGCCTGAAGATATTCTATGTATTTCAGGTTGAGCCAAAGTCTGAAATGCAAAAGCGGTTGGCCCAATTTGATTCCTTAAACTACGCTACACCATGCTTGTCCCTCACGAGAGTGTCGAAAATTCGATCAATGGGCTAAGGTCAGATTCTCTTGAAATCAAAATCATTTAGCAGCGGTCTGATGGGTAAATGTTGCTCAAACGTGTCCATGATGCTCCAGAGACTGTCACTGGTCACAAGTGGTCGATACAACATGCTCTCTTATACAAGCCATAGGTAGGATATCATCAAATGTTCCCGCTATCCTTCGCTGTTCAAGACTGGGCAATAAGTATGCTATGTTATGGTTGCAACAAACAGCCTTCCGCAGTCCTGATTGGCGTTCATCGTGAGAAGTTTCAAGCGAGCACGTGGTTTACAAAACCCATCTGCATCTGATACACGAGTGGCCGTACTACTAACAAGGCTCCAGACTTGCCACATGTCTGGAAGATCTAGTGTGAACTGTTCTTTCTCGAGAGGCCACGGTTCCCATGCCCATCGGCAGGTCACGGCCAGGCCCTCGCAGCATAGGTGAATTTCTGTCTAAAGCGAGCTCCAATGTTCGCAGCCAGGGAAGCAAATGACTTCCTCGGAAAGTCCAGCCCCGCTAGCCCCCAAACATCAGATGGTAACCCAGCGCGCCCCTTATAAACCAATCGATCGCACCAGCACACGCCTCAAGAAGTGTCAGGACCAGCTTGAGTGGCGCAGTGGTATAGACCACCCCGTATGTTAGACGGGGCCGTCGAGGGTTCGATCACGCACCGAGCGTTGTTTCGCCTTCTGGTGGAGACGGTCTTACCGGGCCGGCGCCACTCACCCTGGACACCGATGCGAGTAGGCTCGATAGACCTTGTAATGCATGCCTGATGACGTGGGGCTGCGGTCCGTGAACATGGCTAATTGCTGGGCCACCCACGAAGGGGCCACGTATCACAGGTTATCATGCAAGGCACCTATCGAGACGAACGGACCGTTCGTGATACCCTCAGTTTCAGAACTAGTAGCCCTAACATGCTGGTTGCCTGGCTGGGGCTCGCGTTCGTTAGATGGGCAAAATTCTCTTACTTTTTGACCCATGCACGCTTCATCACCAATCCATTCTCCTGTTGTGCTTACTTACTTTGTTCATCATTTATTGCTTCGCCAATGTCCACACACTTCAAGGAGCAGTCTCTCCGTTCCCTTGTGACAAGTCCTTGCCATAATAATACAAACAAGTATCAATGCGGATGACTTGATGAGTCCTCACCTTGGCCTCGCAACATACTGCTTAAAGCTCACAGTCACGACGACTTGAGATATACGACCATCAGCTACTGAATTAATGTTTAGAGTGTAATGGCGTTGTTTGGAATTTGAATTGATAGCATTGCTCTAGCCAATACGGTGATATGTGATCAAGGTATATGGGTCTTCCTGCCCAGCTCTGCCAAAACCGTCACTGTCTTTGGCCGAGCCAGCAGACTGGTCGATGGCTGCCGACAGGAGCGCCTCTTACAAGAGGAGCCGATGAATAGAACTCAGACAGCCACGATTATTACATGACACAACCGGTCCCGACGGCGGTGTTGGGAATACGAACGGCCAACTCCGACTTGCGAGATGGGTCCAAGCAAGGAATCAACGTGCAGGCCAGGTACTCAGGAATACCATTCCTGTGTAAAAGGAGCAGCTGAGGTCGGCAGAATCAATAACAAGACCGTGGATGGTGTACCAGACGGGAGACTATGGCTTGCCAAAACACGAGGTCTACACACCACTCGAAGCTCTGCATGGAATGCAGGCGCATGAAGAACTTGCGCCCGACGACTGTGTAGTGCCAGCCCGGCGACCATGTCGGTGGCCACTCCAGAGAAGGATGTTGGCATGCATACATGACATTAACGCCGCAGCACTCATGGTATAAATTCCCCCCAAAAAAGGTTATGGGATTCCCCAGCCGGGTTCACACATAACTGGGGCGGTGTGAAGGCCGAGCCGTGCCTCCGCGCCCCCCCCCCCCCTACATTCAAAGTGCTCACCAGGCGGCCCACACTGAGCGGCCCAGCCCACACACCCGCGGCGCAATGCTGACGTGCCGCTTCCGGGAATACTCACCAGCAGGTAGGACCCCAGCACAGAGAAAGCGAGGTTGCTGGGTAGTCGGGGGCCAAATCGGGTCGCAATGAGGTCGCATCGGTCCACGTTCTGCGGGAGGGTTTTCGTTCGTCCCAGCCGAAGGAAATTCTTCAAACGCCATACGGCTGCATATTGTTCATCTTACTACTCACTATGCCAAGATTTCGTGGCTAAATTAAAGGGCACGCCGGGGGGGTTGGAATTGTTGCCCTTTACTAAAGACTGGAAGGATGCAGTCGGTTGGGTTGGCGCGAGCACAGGTTCGGACGAACACTAGGGTCGTGTCCAATAAAGGGGCATCACCTATACAAGTAGGAGTCAGCGTACGCCCACCCAGCTTCTACAGTACGCCCACCCAGCTTCCAGCGTTGGCCCACCCAGTACAAGGAAAATTAGCTGCATCCGCACTAAAATGCAAGTACTGCGGGGTTTCCAATAAGCCAGGGTAGCTATTTTCCAATTTAAGCAATACTTTAAAAATACAAGCCTAAAAAGCCTAGAGGGCCCCAGAGCCCCCAGAGCCCCCAGAGCCCCCAGAGCCCCCAGAGGGCCCTAGAGCGCCCAGAGGGCCCCAGAGCCCCCAGAGCCCCTAGAGCGCCTAGAGGGCTGCAGAGCGCCCAGAGCCCCCAGAGCCCCCAGAGCCCCCAGAGCCCCCAGAGCGCCCAGAGGGCTGCAGAGCGCCCAAAGGGCCGTAGAGCGCTTAGAGGGGCGCAGAGGGCCGTAAAGGGCGGCAGAGGGCGGCAGAGGGTAGAAGTAACTTTTAAGTTGTAAATAAAGGGGTAGCTATGGGACCCCTTTAAGGTAGCTATGGGACCCCTTTGGGATAGCTATAGCTATGCTTTATTAATAACCCCGCAGTACTAATATTTTATAGCGCGTGCAACCAATTTCCTTGTACTGGGTGGGCCAACGCTGGAAGCTGGGTGGGCGTACTGTAGAAGCTGGGTGGGCGTACGCTGACTCAAAAGTAGGCTGGACGGTTGATTCTCGCTTGGCCTCGCTCTTCATCAATGCGATGTCATTTTGGCAGGCAATTAACCCTGCCAGATGTTGGCTGCTGGAGGTGCTGACCGGCGTGGACAACAGGATTGAGCAGCTTGAGCAGCACATGGGAGCCAAGAGTAAATTAACGAGAGTGTTATAGATCCTTCAAATCCCAGCCGAGGCAGCGGCTCGCCCGCCCCCAACCGCGGTTCAATCGGAAGCCTTAGCTCGCATTTCCATCGGGTTGTGGACTGCAGTATGGGTGTGAATACATGCAGTACGACGCTGCGGAATGGCCAATGAAACTTCTTAAATGCTTCGGATAGGTCTGGTGATTCTTCTGTTTCCTGTTGTGTGACCCGTTAGCCCCAACTAGTCAAGGATGATTGATCGACACTTATCATTGGCCAAAGCCTGGATTCAAAAGGTGTGAATTAAATGCTTTCTGGGCACAAGAGAAACTACGTAGACTTATATGGAAGCAAACCATTTCTCGGTTTCTAAGCTGTGGCTGCTCTGAAAATAAACCTATACTTGCATTACCAAAGCTAGAGCTTTTGCTTCAAGGTTTATGAACGGCCTGAGCATACAGCTTGGGGATAAGGACAAAATCTGATGTGTATTGATTTTCACAAAGCACTTGTTCAAATGGTACACCTGAGGGGTAGCTAGAGTGGTTTGTCACGATGATGTCTAGAATTATCCAGGCATTAAGATCCCATCTCGCTGACATTCACTTCTTCGCCTGCAATGGTTTCCTGCAATCCCTGAACTGAATACAGCGTCACTTTCAGAGTCTGCTTGGCCATGCAAAGCTCGCATGGCATGCAAGTGTTCCGCCTCCACCATCAACACGCTGACAACACAGACATGAGCTGGGCGACTCTGTGCCATGGATCTCGATCTGGATGCCCACAGAAGGCAACACCGATCTGTCTTCTTCTCCTTCATCAATTTCGGCACCACCAGAGTTGTAAATAGCCTCGGTCGACTGCAAAGATGAATTGGACGTTACAGTCAAATTGGACTAGACATATATGTTCTTTGAAGCCGAGGCTCTCCGCTCCGCTGCCGCTGCTCTCACCCTGCCATATCTGTCGAAACGAGTGAGAATCTGGCAAATCATGTTGAAGAAAATCGGCTGATGCTGTTGTGTAAGTCTAGAATGACCCCAGGACCAGACATCATGGTCAAGACTGAGACATTGGCAGGCCGAGTGTTATCCATCATCGTCCAATAAGGCTGTGGACTATTCTGGGGTATAGGTGTTATTGTTATGGGTACCGAGATGGTCTATTGGACGACATCCGAGTCAATCCAGTCCACCGGCATCGTTCTAGTTCTCGCGCCGCATATTTCCCTCATCCTTTGATTCGTTGTTTTGTCCTGTTTTGCTGTCGAGGGTCTTGTCCCGAGGTTCTTACGTTGGTTGTAGCCAAGAGGGTCAGCGGAGGCGCCTCCGACTATTCCCCAATTCGATGTTCTGTCGCGAAACGGCGGCCCTAGTGTGACACACCTTCTCCTTGGACGGCCCAGCACTTCAACTCTGCATCACTGACGATGAAGATGTTTTGTAATGCCACTGGACCGATGAATATCACGAGAATGTCTACAATTTGGGTGGTTGCTGACACGGGGCTTCTGGTCTTCAGAAGACGTTGAATGGCGGACACGACAGACTACCTCGACTCGCGTAGAATTCGATAGCGATTTCAAGTAGAAAAGTCACCATAGCCGCGGACAGATGAGAGATCTGAAATAAGATAAATAGCATCTAAATATCCCTCTCTGAACACAATAAATCTCTTGCTCGTCAGACTCAAGCTCTCGCTCAGTCCTGAAGCCTCCGTTCCCTCGCTACAAGCCCAGGAAACCACAAGTCATTCTTCTTCCAGATACTAGCTTCTCAAGGCTTCAAGTCATCTGCAAAATTCTCAAAATGAAGTTCCTCGCCATCATCTCTCTCTGCGCCGCCCTTGTCGCCGCGGCCCCTGTCGAGGCCCCTATCGAAGTCGCCGTTGATGCCGGTGTTGCCGACCTCGAGGTCCGCCAGACTGGCCTGACACGCGACGAGCTCCAGTCTGGCAGCAGCTCCGCGTGCCCCAGGGTGATCTTCATCTTTGCTCGCGCATCTACCGAGCTGGGTAACATGGTAAGATCCTCCCCCTTTGAAACTTCCGGTACGAGGATCGTCTGACTCCAAAATTCGAAAATAGGGAGGGAGCGCAGGCCCGACTGTAGCAGATGCTCTTGAGAGCCGGTATGGCGCCTCTCAGGTCTGGGTGCAGGGTGTCGGCGGACCATATACCGCAGACCTGCCATCCAACGCCCTGCCCGAGGGGACCAGCCGGGCGGCCATCAACGAAGCCAAGAGGCTGTTCACGCTGGCCAACACCAAGTGCCCCAACGCGGCCGTCGTTGCCGGCGGATACAGGTAAGATGGGGTCAATCTCCTGCCAAGCACTTGACTGGGGTTTTCAATGCCATGCTGACGTAAAACGACGGTGAATAGCCAGGGCACCGCCGTCATGGCGTCGTCGATCTCGGAGCTGGGCTCGACGATCCAGAACCAGATCAAGGGCGTCGTGCTGTTCGGTTACACCAAGAACCTGCAAAACTCCGGCCGCATTCCTAACTTCCCGACATCCAAGACTGAGGTCTACTGCGCTGCCACCGATGCTGTGTGCTTCGGTACCCTCGTCATCCTGCCCGGTCACTTCTCCTATCAGACTGAGGCGGCAGTAAATGCCCCGCGCTTCCTGGCTGCTCAGATTGGTTGAGAGGCGCCAGGCTGCTTCAAAAAGGGTAGGCTCGGGCTCGGTTGAGTGCGGTTGAGGTGAACGCTGTGTGCGCTTAAGCTAGTCAGTGTCTGCGGCACATATACGCTGAGAGGCTTCTGCCCGTGCGGTGTGCTGAGCTCTACACATTGAGTAGGATGGTTCAATTTTAAACTGGGTGTTCCTTTCCCCTTCTTGTCACTCTTTGTCACTCTCGGTCTAACTGTCCCTCGCTCAGCTCTGAGGGCAATTCCTAACTTCTAACCAAGTTCAACACCAACAAAAAGATTTTTGATTGCTCAAGGAACACCATCAACTGATGGCTCTTTTGCTATTCCGTGCTAGTGATCTGCCACTGAATTGAATACATTGCGATGAAATCTAGTCTAGCCACTTCCAAGGGCCTTTTTGCCGCAGATGAGGACAACGAAATCTCCCGGTACGGACCTCACCGCACTAGACATATCCGGCCATCGACAAAGAGTTTGGCTTACATGTAGTAAAGAGCTCATTGTAGATTCAGCCGATGTGCACGTGGAAAATATTGAAACAAGAACACAGAACATGTATTTAATGGTCTCCTCCCAAGCGAGCACCAGTCATACATTCTTCGTGATAGTTGTATCCTCAACGCAAGTTGTGATCTTGAACCTAGCCACATCGGGTTCGTTAAACACATCTATATTGTGTATCCCAACCTGTCTGAGTAATTATACCCTTATTCAAAAGTTCAAGTTACATAAGTTCCAATTCAAGTATTATAAATAGCAAAACTTGGATCGTGGTTCAGTTTACCAGACCATGGACCCGACCAAAGACGAGAATTGCGACGTGCACTACCTGGCCTCGGATCTCCCGCAGCCTCTACCGACGCTGAAGGAGATCGAGGAGGCTGGTAGCACATACAAGACATACTTAAACTTACACCAGGTCGCACGCATTGGCGAGAATTACATCACGAAAAAGGGTCAAGCTCTTGCCTTCGAGGGCTGGACCATGCTGTATCTCAGAAAGATGACCAGCATTGCGCTTCCTACCGTATATGCCATCCTCACCGACAAGAAGGCCGAACGCGACATCATCGTAATGGAGTACATCCCAGGCCCAAGCCTTGACAACTGGGCAGACCTTGAGGCTTCTCAGAAAGAAGATATAGCGAAGCAGCTCGCGGCCCACTTCTCCGAACTGCGAGCGCTGCCGTCCCTTGGCGTGTTCGGGCGTGCGTTGCCTCCCGAGTACGGAAACCTTAAGAAAGACGTCCTGCCGGACTTTATGTTTCGCACCGTTGCGGGAGATGAATTCGGCGGGCCGTTCGACACCGTGCAGCAGGTGGGGCAGGCCCTCGCGGACGTCATGAGAGCAAATTCAGCTGCCCACGCGGAGAGGGCCAAGCTTTGGGAAAGCCTCATACCAGAGATCCTGAAAGAGGGTCCGCCAGTCTTTACCCACGGAGATTTACAGCGCAAAAATATCATACTTCGGGATGACGGGAAAGTCTTCATTATTGACTGGGGACTATCTGGGTGGTTCCCGGAATGTTGGGAGTATTGCTATACCATGTACGCTGCAGGAGAGTTCGAGTCAGACTGGCATGCGTATATTCCCAAATTCCTGTCCAAATTTCCCTCCGAATTCTGCCTGACTCTAGTCTTGCGAAACGTACACCATGGTTCGCATATGTGATTCGAAGGTTCCAACGAGCGCAGACGGTGCCCCGTCCGAGTGGTGGCTTTGCCCCCAAGCCTTCCCCTCCTGGAACTGCACCTTCTCCTCAGGCTCGACCGAAGGAATGATGCCACTATTCCGTAAGGCCACAATCGCTTCGGCCACCCATTCTTGGCAAGCGCGCAAAGGCTCATGTGGATAAATGCGTCCACCGCGGAGGGTCAATTGCGGTTTCGGTGGTGGTATGGAGAGACAGACTTCTTCGAAATGGGCCAGCTCGTGTTGTTTCAAGCACCCAATCTCGGCCATGGGATAGAATGAGGGGGCGGTATCTGGGTTTCGACAGGCTTTGGTCTCAAACGTCATACCACCCAACAAGCTACCCACAACATGGTAGAGGTGTCCGGTTTTTCCAGGAACATCGGCCTCAACGTAGAGAGCATGATGGTTTCTCCCATGGAGGGACATGTACACAACAAAGTACACCACATATCGATCATTGGATACCTGCTCCATCGAATCGAGGTGTTCAGCAGTAGTAGTAATAAGATTATGTGTTGTAGAATATAGTAAGAATGTGTGGCAATGAGATTATGTGTTGTAGAATGTAGCAAGAATGTGTGGTCTTGTGAGATGTTTACTAGACATTGTAGACTGCCATGTGTATGTATATTTATCTTAAAAGTCTCGAAGACATTTCTTCTACTTTACCTACGAGATCCATGATTCTCTTTCTCGGACATCCTTTGTTGTCAGACTTTATTTGGTAAACCGAGTAATGACTGTCTGTCGATTCCTCATTGTTCGCCCTGGCGAGGCGAAGAGATGTGGCGGTCCTTGTGGTTTTTGAGCCAGCATGAGTGGAGAATTGACAGTTCAGAACAGGGATCGAGTAGAAGTGAAAGGGACTATAGCAACGCAGTAAAGTCTCTGGCTTTCCCTTAGATTCCGCCGAGACCTCTCAAGTGAGACGGTTTGCATACTACCTGCTAATTACGATGGGATTGGTGATGCCTTTCCCCTGGAGTGTCTATGTCTGTGCTCGGACATAAGCACGTAATTCCTCTGGCACCAAAGATGAAGCATATGTGTGACTCTTTAGCTTGCACTAAGTAAATATCACTGGCTGCTCCCCGGCCACCCTGGCTCCCCTGGCTCCCCAAAGCAGGCAGAAGCAGTATCTGTGTCCCAGTCGGCCATGTGTTGTGACAAGTCGACGGTACAGAACCACGAGTCAGTTCCAATCAAGAGGCTAATGCAAAACCGAGCCACAGCAAACAATGGGAAGAAGTCTGAGACAATTTGACCTTTTCCAGGCCAGCTGACTTGTCACGGTGAGCGGGCTGCGATCATGAATGTCCTACACAACTTTCGGTGCAACGGATTCTAAAGTTGCCAAACGACAGGGGTCTTTGTAACAGTTTTGCCTTGCCCCAAGCTGTGGCAGTCTGGAAAATTGATTACTGGCTGTTGGCTAGTGTGAGGTGTGCAACGCAGCCTCGTGGGCGTCGGGTTGTGCAGTGTGCAAGGCAGCGGCGAGGGTGCCGAAGAACACAAGCGCAGGAAGCAAATTGCTGCATCACATAAGAATGGGGAAATGCCAGGGTGAGCTGCTGCTGAGATGAGATGTCGGCACGCACCGAGGAGTCTTGTGGAGGGTCCAGGGTTGATATTTTTAGAGACATGCATGTGCAGATGTGCGTGTGGGTTCTGGCTGTCAGTTAAGCGCGGTCTGCATCAAGCCATCGTACATGAACCATTCCTTGCCTAGTCTGGGTAATACTAGTACAAGCAACGATGGAATGAATAATGGTCAGCACGACGTTACCGAGACAGCCGACAGTTATTCTTAAAATCCTCTTGGGACAGTCCGCATATCTACCGTAGAAATGCACATGTACTTGTAAATAAACACCTTGGCGAAAGCGATGAAGAGGAAGGCTGGCTGACCCTCCTTCGGGTTCCTTGTGCTGACCCGATGGCCAGGTAGGAGCTGGCCCCCCTGTCCTGGTGCTGGGAACCCGCCCTGAAAGTGGAGCTTGGGTCTGGATTGGGCCAGACTGGACTGAGAACGGAGCTCGGACCACAACTGCACCCGAGCTCGCGCTTCCCACGACCTCATCTCTCCTGCCGGCCTGCCAGCCTGCCACTCAGCTTCATCACCATTCTTGTTGACCTCATCAATCCGGGTCATCTGCGCCGCATGCAGTCTTGGACCCCATCCCACGGCACGTCTGGCCTTCCTCCGCCGTCAATTTCCATGTCGCTTGGCTCAAGATCCCCGAACAGTCGCCCCAGGCGTCGCCCTAATTTCCCTGCAACGGCACAGCAGCCCGCGTGGATCGAGGCGACAGCGAAGGAGCTGCTGTGCCGCAACGAGCTAACAACATGACTCCATCGTCGACTGATCCGCCCTTCTGCAGCACTCTAGCACCAACAGAGCACCAACACCACTGTTGGCTCCTCATTGTTGGTGCGTGATGAGCGGTCTGCCGTCACGCTGGCGGTTCGAGCACCTCCGCCCAGCCCAGCGGCGACAACCCCCATCAAATTGATCAACGACGCGGTCGGCCATCCCGTGGTCCACCATTCGCAGTCACTACACGTGTACCGTTTACTGTTCCTCAACTTCAAACCCAAGGCTCTGGCAAATCCTCCTTGGTTGAGATCGTTTCCACTCTGTGGAATCCGAACCCCCCGGCCCGAGCCTGCTCTCCGTCCACGGGTTTCAGTCTCGCTGCTGCCACCATGTCGTGGGCCACTTGTCGTAATCAGCAACTCTGAACTCAGTATCCTTCGCGCGTTGCGTATATGAGTTCGTATGGCACCACTCGAATCCAGAAGATATTTCTGCACTGAGCACACATAGCTATGTCACCCACCCTTCCTTCCTGCGGCAATAGCCCTACGCCGCTGGCCCCCATGGTCGACGCAACATTCGCGCCTCGCGCAAGCATGGTGCCACACCCGCCCGGCCCGCTTCACGGAGGGCACTCGAGTCTGCACCTCGACGTCTCCGGACCTCATACTCCACCTCGTGGGCCACAGCAAAATTCTGTCTGCTAATTCTGATCCAACCAACTGGCCTTCGTTTGTTGTTGTTGGTTGTTTGACCGCCCTGCAGAGAGCTTGGCCAGTCCCACCTCCACCCTCAGCCGCACGTAATTTATCCCAACTCCTCAAGTTCGCAATTTCACCAGCCATGCAGCGAAGAGGCAGGTAACACGCTGTGCCGTGGGTTTGTGCAATCCGGAACACTGCAATTTCGGATTCTGGAGAGCATCATCCGTCCTCGGCAACCAGTGCGTTTCACGCGTGCGCGTCTATCGGCTAGATCTGACAACCTATCGTGCACCGCATCGCTGAAACAGGTACGACAACGTGCGTGTGGGTGGACTTGCGGCTGTGCAAAGTTACATTCTGCGTTGGTCTGGCGTGGCAACGCGGCAACTACCTTTCTCCTCGCTGGGCTCCATGCCCCGATGACACGTTGGCCTGGGACCAGCGGAGGATCCTGCAGTCAGCAAACTGCGGCTTGAGGAATAAATGTGGCATGCCTGCAATGCCCACATGTTGCCCGGGAATGATGTGAGACCATTGGTCCATTTAGGCGCTAGCTCCGGTCTTGGTCACCAACCTCAAGCCTGGGTTGTCTTCTCCCATGCCTCAAAACGTGCGGCCCGCTGCCGATCAACGATCGGCTCTTCATTGCCTAAGACGTTCTCGATCTAGGTAGGGCACAGCTCCCCTGCTGATGTCACGCTTGCTCGCCTTAGTCAAGTCAAGGGTTGCTGCTTGTAAGGCTTTGTTCTTCGCCCATGTGGGCTCCTAATGCTCCGAACGCCTGGTGTTGTTCCTTTTTTTAGGGGGCCAAGAGCCATGTACGTTGCGGTCGGCTCCTTCTCACGGGACCCACCCATCTATCCCCATCCCAAGCAGTGTTGGTTCTGTTGTCTGATGATGACGGCCAATGCTTTCGTTGCTTCCAGCATGTCCTGCCCCAAGGCTCCACGGGAGCCATAAGATCCACCAGCCATGATTCCCATCGACTTTGATATAAGAATGGACTAGCTCTCTGCCTGTCTCGACCTGCCCTTCATGAGATCCTCTAGTCAGTAAAAACCCAAACATCCCAGACCTCAACCTGCTTATCTTTGCAGTCTTTCGATCTTCACAATAATCTCTACTGCCCAGAGCGTATCACCACTTGCTATCGCTTTCTCGTGCCTGTTCCAGCACCTAGTTTCAGGACTCAGCCTTCCCAGTACAAACCTGCACAACAAGGGCTATCAACTACGATATCAAAGTTTACGATTTGTTCCTCCAAGAAGATATCAAGAACAAGCCCCAATGATCTCCACCGCCGACAGCGCCCTTCTCCAGCTCCACTTCACCACTGGATCAGAATGGGCCTCTTCCAACGCGACAGAAAGCAGCAGTCCGAAGACAAGCTTGAGGTGGTTGATGAATCTCTTCGACAAGAGACAGAATGGAAGCCAACGACTCACCAACTGATGATCATGGTCGCTCTGAGTGTAATCAGCTTTATGGTTTCACTCGACGCATGTATCATCGTCACTTCTCTTAGTGTAAGAGTCACCACCTAATCATCACACAACCTCCCGTGTCCCATCCTTCAACAGAGCCCCGGTTGCGTAGCTGTACTGACGAGTCTGCTCTAAAGGCTATTGTAGAAGACCTTGGGGGAACTGCCACTCAGAGCTTCTGGGTAGGCACAGCATATCTACTGTCAACGTCAGTCGCCATGCCATTCCTGGCCTCAATATCCGACATCTTCGGCCGACCGATCCTCCTCATCTTCTCTATATTAATGTTTACAATCGGCTCCATCATTTGTGCCGTTGCGCCGGATATCGCCACCCTCTTGGGCGGCCGCTCGATTCAGGGCATCGGTGGCGGAGGCATTATTGTTCTGAGTCTGGTCATCTTCACGGACATCGTTCCCCTTCGGCAACGACCAAAATGGTACGGGACGGTCCAGGGAGCGTGGGCGTTGGGCAACTGCGTCGGGCCCGTCCTGGGTGGAGCCATTGCCGATAACACCACATGGCGATGGGTGTTCTATGTCATGTTCCCTTTCTGCGCCTTTGGCCTCGTCTCTATCCCCTTCCTTCTCACGCTGAAGCCAAAGGTTGAGACGCTGGGACAGAAGCTCGCACGTGTCGACTGGGTCGGCTCAGCTATTTTCATGATCTCCGCGACGCTATTCCTCATCGCGATCTCATGGGGCGGCACTCAGTTCGAGTGGTCCAGCGCCGCCACCATCGCGCCCTTGATCATCGGTGCGATTGGCCTGGCAGGCACCGCCGTCTGGGAAAAGTACATGGCGAAAGAGCCTTTCCTCAGTCATTCGCTGTTCTACAACGTCAGCGCCATCTCCACTTTCGTCTGCAGCGCGGTGCAAGGCCTCGTTCTCTTCGGCCAGCTTTACTACATCCCCTTCTATTTCATGTCGGTGCTGGAATACTCCCCGATTCACACCGGCCTGGCCCTCCTACCGGTCATGCTAACCCTGGTCCCGGGGTCCATCATCACCGGCGTCTTGATTACTCGTTGGAACGGCTACCGCTGGCCGATCTGGTCGGGCTGGGTAGTCACAACGATCGCCTGTGGCCTGACCACAATGTGGGATGCGGACACCTCCATCGGGGTCTGGGTCGTGACGCTGATCCTCCTGGGCTTCGGCCACGGGGCGATTCTCAACGCGCAAAACTTCGCCTCGCAGGCCATCTGCGCCGATGGCGAGGAGGCCGCCGCCGCAGCCATGTACGGCTTCCTGCGGCACTTTGGCACCGCGCTCGGCGTGGGCATCGGCGGCTCTGCCTTCCAGAACATCATGGCGCTCAAGCTGTCGTGGACGGACCTGCCCGGCGGGGCGGACATCGCCAAGAACGCCGAGGCCTTCATCGTGCAGCTCCTCGAGATGCCGGCGTCGCCGGAGAAGACCAAGATCGTCGAGGGCTACGTCTTCGGCTTCCAGGGGGTGTACAGGGTCTACCTGGGCATCAGCGCGGTCGCCTTCCTCATCAGCCTGACCATCAGGCACTACGACATGAACAAGGAGCTCGCCACGGACCACCAGCTGCAGGACAACAACATTGCCCGCATCATGGACAAGAGGCTGTCGTCGTACCGCAACTCGCGCATGGTCCCCGCCGCCGTCGCCGGGCTCAAGCTCGACGCCGTCCAGGAGAGCCCCCAGGAGACGCTCAACGGCTCCAGGAGGCCTAGCGACACCGAGACCAAAATCGGCAGCGGGACTGCGACGCCGCGCATCGCGGAGGAGCCGGAGCGCGAGAAGGACGTGCCGGCGCTGCCGCAGAAGCCCGAGCCTGTGGCTACTGAATTGAAGAGTACGGTTGTGGTCAGTGAGGTTGAGAAAAATGAGGCTTCAAGTCCCGATGGTGCGAGGCCTGGGGCTGTGAAGACTGAAGCTGCGAAGTCTGACGACACGAAGACTGAGCCGGCTCCTGCTGCATAATGTGTGATATGAATGGGAGTTGGGTGCCTCGGTCTTGCTGTTTTGCTCTAATGTCTCTTTTGTCTTGGGATGGGTCTAGATCTGGATACCAAAGAGAGCGATATAGCCAAATTAGCAGCACATCTTGAAATCAGCTTGAAATACCAACAGTCTTGAATTGTAATTCTGCCCTGAAACCACACTGCGACCCAACGTGAAGACGTGAAACCCGTCCCCTTGCGAACCCCCCCCCTTTCCCAAAGGTGCAAACGAAGGTCAGTTCTCACTCGGACCTGCTCTCTAATTTCACTCAACATTTTCCCAACCAAGACTTGGCTGAGAAAGATGTCTCCTCCCCTCCAAAGGATTGACTCTTCCCGTCAGAAGGGCCGCGCACGTGAATTAGCATTGCTAGCACATCTCACAGTACCTTATGCTACTTTAGGGCTGGTTCCTCGCAGCAAAAAATATGCCGTAAGGTAATAGAGATGATTTACTTGAGACTCAATTGGTGGAGGATGGAAACAAGCCATAATATTAGAGCAGAAGCATTGCCGCTCGCCTTGGTTCTGCCCACACGCTCCCCCGTCAATTCATCGAGCCATCTCCTCTTTGGCGATGACAATTCTTCGCAATTACTTTTCCAAGTAGGCTTGACGTCTCTTCCAAACTCAGGCCGTTTCTTTGGCCCAAACATTTCACCCTCATCCACACATTATCTTGATCAAAAGAGCGCCGCCACGCCCAAAACCCAGATACCCAACACGAACAGGCTCATTGCCGAGCCCCTGGTCGAAGCACCATTCTTCTCATGGAATCCCAGGATACCATGTCTCCACCTGCTGCCATCGTCTTCGTTGATGGTGAGACAGCTCGAAAAGTTTTGCTCTGAGGCCAGGTCTGGTGGAGCCTCGCACCAGGCAAAACAGCCGTCAGCAATGCTGATGGGGTTTGGATTGCAGCAGGCCACGAATGCTGGGTTGCTGGTATTGGTGGATGGTACGAAAGCAAAGGTAATATTGGACGGAATGTCGACATTCGAAAACTCCGGAACACCGTCGGGGCAGTTCGAAGCGTTCCAGGACATCGTGAGCTTGCGGATGGGACCCGGACAGTCCGTCGAGGAGCCTGAAAGGGCAAAGGGCGTGAGCACCAGACCTGAGAGTTGATGACTTCAGTAACTGATTGGTCAAAGAAGGACGTTGGTGCACTGCCAAATCGATGTGGATTGTGTCGATGCACCTGTAATGTGGCGCTTATTCGATTTGAAGGATTGCCAAATTGAAGTTGTCAGGTCTGGAGTGAGACGTTAGTCAAAGTCGAGGTCTTGGACACCTGGACAAATACTGCCAGGTCTTATCGTGAAGCTTTTTACTTACTGCAATTATTGTCATATCTGGATCCGGCAAAGTGTCTTTCTTGCGCTGGCAGAGCGTGTTGTGACTTGTCAAATAGGATAAGTTGCTGCCCAGCATTTCAGCTCAATTTAGAGCAGAACTCTCGCTCTGTCGGGGCCAAAGGAGCTTTCAAATCATAGACTCACCGCAAAATTGCCACACGAGCTTCCTATTCCAGCAGCATGCCAACAGAAGCACCAAAAAACTACTCCACTTGAACAATATGGTTCTCCATCGACAGGACACGCCAAAGCTTCTGACCCACTTGGTACATTCCATTCTACCAACAGCCAAAGACTTGCGGCCCAACTGTGTAGGCTCCTCAGGGGCTGTTTTGCGCCGCCAAGAAGAGCGGAAGTTCTCCGGCAGTGGCTCTTCATAGGAGCGAGATCCACGACACTGCTCACTTACAGTCGCTACGCCGCACACCACGCCGCACACCACGCTATACGCGGATGGAGAATCGCGACCGATTCAGTTCGTATTGGCTGTTGTATGAGAGATGGTTGAGATCTCGGCGGAATCTTGCGACATGACCTCCTGCTGCCCACATACATGCGCATAATCGGTGGAGAATGGAGACTCGCATAGTTTATGTATGTAAACAGTGAAGAAAGGCAAGAATTCGCAATGAAAAGGCGAGTTCATGATTAAGAAGACATTTCTTGAACTATGCTTTGCTGTGAAGCTCTCTTTAGGATATGTATGCAAATATCTGGAAGGTCGTATAAATATATAATACAATACATCGTGTGATGTCGAAAGAATTATGCATTGATTTCAATGCATTCACAAAGGCAACTGTACTCCGGTTCTAGACTGTACCAAGATACTGGAAGCATAGAGAAAATATAAGTAATCTTATTTTTAATCTATATATATATACTTCTTAAGCAATATATATTTAGTCCCTTTATATAATAATAAATGCTTAAATACTTAGCGTTAAAAATATAATATTAATAATAATAAGTTTTAAATATAATTATAACTTATAATTAAAAATTAAGTAATTAATTATATAATGAAAATTAAAATACTTTTTATAAAATACAATAATTTTATAAATATAATTTTAAATAAAAACTCAATTTTTTTTATTTTATATTAATATATATTATAATCTTTTAAAAAAGCCTTTATTAAATATATTATTATTATAATTAATATTTAATTTTAAAGTTATTAACTTTAATAAAAGTTAAAATAAGAATTTAATTATTTTATAAAAAATAAAAATAAAATTTATAATAGAAAAGATATTTAAAGAAATTTAATAACGTAATTTATTAATAAATAATTTTTTTTATAATATTTATTAACTTTTATTAACCTTAATATTTATTTAATATAAAATATTTAATAAAAGTTAATATTAATTAATATTAATTACTTTTAATTCTTTATTTTTAATTAATTTTATTAATATAAAAGTATTAATAAAGGTATAATATAATTAAGAATTATTAAGGTTTTAATAAAATGAATTTTTTTTAATATAAATTATATTTTAATTTTTTATATTAATTTTACTTTAATTTATTTATTTAAATATTTAATATATGAAAAATTAATAATTATTAATATATTTTTTATTAAAAGAAATTAAATTCTTTTAATTATTTAATTAATTTAAAAGCCTTAAAAATTATATTATATTATAAAATAAATAAATAATATATTTTGTAAAGAAATATATATTATTATATATAAACTTAATTAAATTAAAAAGTAAATACTTATTTAATATATTATTAAATAAGATATTTAAAGATTTTAATTATAATCTTTCAATATAAAAAATTATATTAACTTATTATTAATATTATAAAATATTAAATTTATTAATAAATATAAAGCTTAATGCTTTATAAATTTATAATTTAACTTAAAAATTAAGTTTAATTAATTTTATAATTAATAAAAAGTTTTTTATAAAGATTTAAAAGTTATTAAAAATTAATTTAAGTTATTTTAAAATATAATAATTAAATATAAAATTATAAATAATAACTTATATAACTTTAATAATATTAACTTTATAATAAATATAATTATTATATTAATAATATATATATATATATATATATATATATATTAATAAATATAAAAAAGGTAAATTAATTTAATTTAATAATTAAAAATAAATTATAATTATTAAATATTGTTGGTTGGGTTAATGTACGTTGGTTAATAGCAAATTGGTTGTATTTAAATCGGCTATATATAAGGAAGGAGGGTTGCGGCCATAGGCTGCAGAACCTCCCTTTGGCTATAAACTATTTAGGGGTAATTACATGCTGCTGCACATAACCTTTGCCTATTAATGCTTTAATGCTAATTGCTTATAATGCCTATTATGCTTAATGCTATTATCCCCTTATAATATATTTATAATTATATTAGCAATCTTTAATTAAGTAATTAATACATGTTTTTAAAAAGTATATAAGAAAAATAAATTAAATTAAACTTAAAGTTGCTAAATTTAAATTTATTAATTAATTAAATTAATTAAAAATATATACTTATTTAATTATATTAAGTGCTTATAAAAGGTAAGCATATAAAAAGGCTTGGATTATTATTAAAAGGTTAAAGATTAATTATTATATTAAAGTATATAATTAATAAATAAAGGTTATTTTAATAATTATATATAGTAAATTATCCTAATTATATTAATTAATAAAGCGTAAATTACTGCTTTTATTATATAAATATTTTATTTATAATGCATTTTATAAACTTATACTTTTATTACTTATAATGCTTAAATTAAATAAGGATTAAATTAAACCCTTAAATTAATAATATTATTATTTGATTTTTAGCTTATAATATGCTTTAATTTAATTTAGCTTAAGCTTAATTATACTTAATTCTTATAATTAAATAAAGATTAATTAATTATAAAGAAAAAATAAATAAAATAAGTTATAAAGGTTAATAAATAGAGTATTTAAATAAAGAAGAAAAGTTAAGTATTAAGAAATTATTTAATATTAATTAAGTTAATAAATAAAAATATATATAAGATTAATATATAAGTATTAAATTATAAAATTTAATTAAGGATGCCTATTAAATATAAGCTAGTAACTTAAGTATTTATAAAATAATAATAACCCTTATTATTTAAACTCTTAATATATAAGCATTATTATAAAAATCTTAGCTATAAGGTTTGCCCTTAAAAGGAAAGTAATTTTAAATATAAGCTATATTATATTATTCCTTAAGGTAATTTATAATTAATTAATAAAAGGAAGATTTAAACTTTTATTAATTTTATATACTTTTATTAAATAAAAGCAAAGATTAAATTGCTTTAATAATCTTTTTTTTATAACCTTATTTATAATTAATTTAACTTATTAATTTTTATTAACTTTTATTTAAATATATTCCTTAGTAATAAATAATGCATTAAGCCTTAATATACCTTTTCTTTTTGCTTAAGTAAATAACTATCTTTAATTAATATATTTTTATACCTTAATTATAATTTTATTAATATTTATAAGCTATTTAAGAATTTTATTTAATATATTCTTTATAAAGGTATTTATTAAGTTGCAATTATTAGCAATTTATTAAATCTTAAAAATTTTATATCTTTTATATAATTATTAAAGTATTATTAAGTTAATTATAAAGTATTTTTCTTTAATTATATTAAGTTTAATTAAGCATTTATATAAAAAGTATAAATTTATATAAATTATAAAAGAAATAATATTAATATTAAAATAATACTTATATTAAATTTATAAATCATATTATAAATCTTAGAAGCTAAAACGTTTTTAACAACTTTCTTATACTTAATAAAGGATTAATAAATAATGTTGCTATAAATATTTAATTTTATAAAGTTATTACCTTAAATTTCATTAATAAAAGTAATAATAAAGCTTATTTAAAAGCTAAGATTTTAATTATTAATAAAAGATTTATTAATAAAGATAAGTAATTTAGCTATAATTAAATTAAGTAATATATATTATATACTGCATTTAAAATAATTAGCTTATTATTAAAGCTTCTTATTAAGCTAAGTATAATTTTCTTTACTTAAATTAATAATTTAAGCAGCTATAAATAAGTTAAATATAGCTTTTAATTAATAAATAAAAGCTAAATAAGTATTATAAGCTTATTACTTAATATATTATTATCCTTAATTAAGAAAGATAATTTAAATAAGGGTAATTTTTATGCCCTAGCTTTTTTAATATATATTAATAATATTATTCTTTATAATAATAATTTTAATGCTATTAAAATTAAATATTATTTTAAGAATAAGTACTATCTTTAGCTTGCATTAAATATCCGCCTTTTTAATCTTTTTTTTCTTTATTATTAAAAATGCTAAAGTAATAATAAAGAAAGTATTATTTATTTATATAGCTATAATGCTAAAGTTATTTATATTATTATTTAAAATAAGGAAGTATAAATTATAAGTAAAAATAACTATATTTAATTTCTTATAATAATATTTATAATATATTATTTATTAATATATATTAAACTTAATAATATTATATAAAGATTTAATAATATATATAATAATATTAAAAGGATACTTATTATAAATCTTTAGTAATAACTTTATAAGTATTATATATTTAAGCTTTAACTTTAATTATAAATAGGCTTAAATAATATTTTAAAGCTTAAT